GGTTGTGTTTTGGCATGTCAGGGAGAGGGAATTACTTGTGCAGAACTAGAATGACAGAACTGGGGTTAAACACAACTGTGCTGAACTTGAACCAGGAGCCTGCTGAGGACAGCCACATCCTGGCATCATTAGCTTTGTTCACCTTTCTTACCTGACTCTAAGCACACAAAACCACAACAATGTGGGGTTTGTCTCTCTGTGCTTGTGGTCAGAGTGCTGATACCTCCCAGCAGCAATATCTCAGGTCCCAGCAACCACATCTGAAGTAGCTGCTTTCAAAGAACACATAACACAGAGCTAGAGCTTTCAATCATGAACTCTGCTTTTGTTGGTATTGCAGGAAAGCTTTAGCACTGAGATGACCAAGCCAAGACTTCTGCCAGGTTGTGTTCTCCAAGAGAAGCATGCATTGCACAGACCCACACCACCATAGCTTTAGTACTTCTCTCCCAAATCCAGGATGTTTGTAGAGGTATTAAACAGGAAGCTAACAAACTACACATTGCCCTTGTAACTTCAGCATTCCCAAACATACTCTTGGTACACAAAGACTGAGGTGGCAGGATCAAGCCTGGTTGTGGCATGCAATGGTATTTCCACTGAGCTAGACCAGAGGATGCAGGCAGCACAGAGTTAAAGCTGCTGGGCTCTAAAGCTATAAATAGTGGATTCCCAAGAGAAAAAGAAAAGCTAGGAGCTCAGAGTTTATTCTGTTGCTTTTGAGTCCCCTGGACCTTTGCATTTGTGCTGGTTGTTCTGGCTTATCAGAGATCCCCTAAAACTGTTTCTTTCTTCCTCCCTGCAGATTCAGCAGTGCAGAAGAGGAGCTCACAAGCCACTCTGGAGGTGGTTCTGGTGGCTACTTGGAGCACATATACAAATATGCAGCCAAGGAGCTCTTTGGAATCCAAGTGGATACAGTTCAGTACAAACCTTTAAAGTAAGAAGCTTTAAAGCCCTACAGAAAGCACTATTTTCATTGGAATTCTGTTCATGCTCTTATCTTGCTGATGGGCTGAAACTTCCTTTGCAATGTTAAAGATTTTACTCCAAGGCATGGGAATTGGCTTCTCACTCCCACAGTTGCTGGGCAATAAATCAGGCAGTGCTCACATAGCCTTTGCCTTGGAGAGTTCAGCCCCTGCAGCACCCACAGGCTTGACTTTGGCCTGATGGATTTTCCCACTATCAAGTTGCAGCAACTTTTGGAGTCATTTAGAAGACAGAGCTCCCATGGATCTGAGCTGCCGCACCTGCAGCCAGGCCAATGAAGTAGTTGCTAATCTCACTGTCACAGAAGAGCTTGTGTAAGGGCTTTGGGGCTTTTTTAGTTGTGCTGTGGAAGGCAGAAAACAAGTCCCTTGAGTCTGGGCATGGAGGCTCAGTCAGCTGAGATTCTTTGTACCAGCTACAATGCTACTACACCAGCTACAACACTGCACCAGCAGCAACACTACTACACCAGCTACAACACTGCACCAGCAACAACACTACTACACCAGCTACAACACTGCACCAGCAGCAACACTACTACACCAGCTACAACACTGCACCAGCAACAACACTACTACACCAGCTACAATACTAAGTACCATTTGTTATGAATTACATCCTTGATTAGTAATATTCAAGTTTAAGATTCTCTGGACTAGGAAGCAGAAGACACAGTCTCCCTGAGGCTCACTATGAAATACATGATAAAAATCAAATTACTCACTCTTTTATCAGGAACAGGTATTGCCACCAACCTTAGGAGTCTGGAAGCCTTTAGGAATGGTTTGCTTCCTTGTTTTATGACCCACTCCTATTTAAAAGCTTCCTCTAACTTGGCTGAAGCCAGCTGTAAAGCTCTGTCACAATGAAGCTCTTGTTCAGGCTCCATTTGCTCAGCTTTTAAGGATTTATTCAACACAGGTGTTCCTCAGCAAAGCCAGCTCAGGTGGTGGGTCCTCCAACCAGGCTGAAAAGGATCTGTCAGATGGTTCCTTCATCTCTTTTCTTTGGGTGGCAAAGAACTAGGACAGCATTCTTGAGCAAGACCTGGCTTAGCACAGGGCTCTTTGAAGTTTAAAATAGAAGTTAGTTGGGATGTTTTCTCTACTCTTGTTCCTCAGAAACAAGGACTTCCAGGAGGTGACACTGGAGAAGGATGGAGCAGTCCTGCTCCAGTTTGCTTTGGCATATGGGTTTCGAAACATCCAGAACTTGGTGCAGAAGCTGAAACGAGGGAAATCGCCTTATCACTACGTGGAAGTCATGGCCTGTCCCTCAGGTAATGACCACTCTGGGACTGCACTGCCTCAGCTCACAGCTGTGAGCAGCTCTGTGGAGCTCTACCCAAACCATGACACCAACAGGCAGCTTCTCACAGCCTGGATGTTGTGGCAAAGCCACCAAGCTCTGGAGACGTGACAGTCACAGCATCAATGTTTCAGTGCTGTTTGTATGTTTTCCTGCCTAGAAGCAGGAAATCCATTCTTCAGGATTTAAGGAATGACGATTAAATTCCAGTGCACTACATTTACATAGTTAGTGCTTTTAAGGAAACCCTCCTGGTTTTCTGAGCCCTTTGGTACATGATCAGATTCTTCTTCTAAAATTGCACAAAATCGACTGTTAATGCTTTTAGAGAACATTTGCTATGGCTGCTGAAGAGTCTCTTGCTTCTTGCTACCTGTTTTATTCCCTTTTCCACCTTGTGCAAGCCCTCCTCTTTCCCACAGCATCTGTGAGCAGATCTCCTTGGGGGTCTGCACAGCCCCAGTCCAAAAGGCCACTCAGCACCGAGACGCCTCTTGGTGCAGCAAATGCTATGTAGTCAAACTCCACCCCAACAGCAAACCCCGAACGTATCCCAGGTGTGTTTCTTACCTTCATTTGAGACCCCAAGGCTGTTCTCACCTGGAATGTGTCCTGGCCTTTCTCTGGAGGCACAAGATGAGAGCCAGGACCTCCTGGCATCCCCGTGTGCCAGCTCTCTGCAGTCTGAATTGGCACTGGGGCACACCAGGCCCGGGATCTCCCCTTTAGAGCTGCAGCTCTGCTGCTGTTAGATAACAGAGGAGTAAACCACAACTATCACCATGCTCTCTTTATGTAGCTGTTTGCAGGTGCAGAGTACATGAACTGTAGTTGCGGTTTGGGTATGTCTGCTGAAGCTGAAGCGCTTTCTAACCTCAGTGCTGTTTTCTCACCTCGTTGCACACAGGCTGTTTAAATGGAGGTGGTCAGATCAGACTCGATGGTGACTCCAGCAAGGACCAGCTGCAGCAGGTTGAGAGGTTGTATGAGTCTGTTGAGACTGCAGTTCCAGAGGAGAACCGGACTGTCCGTGAGCTCTATGAGCAGTGGCTGGGTGGTGTGGAGTCGGAAAAGGCTGTGAAAGCTTTGCACACAGAATACCACGCCGTGGAGAAGGCAAGCACTGGATTTAACATCAAATGGTGACGCTGGGAAGCCCAGATGCAGACACTCGGTGCCTTTTTGACCCAATTATGTTTAAGATGCTCAAAAGAGAGCTAAAGTTCTGTGCAATTTCTGACTCATGAGGGACAAGGAGGCAATGTGTGTATAGGCAGGCAATTTAATACCTACAGCTTTATGATTATTGAAGTGATGTAAATAAAACCCAAACACTGGCTTTTATGCATTATGCAGCCTGGGCTCTATATAGGATGAAACCTGCACTCTCTTTACAGCCCTATTCCTCCCAGAACTGATGATTTAAGGTACTGAAGGAGCTGGCTTGCAGTGGGCTGTAGCCTCACCGAGGTGAGCTTTGTGCTCCATGACAGAATTACTCCTCCAGGCCTTGCTGTGTGTTCACAGCACTCATTTTTGTGGCTGTCTCTGCTGGGACACTCTCAGTGAGTTAGAAGTGGTCTCATTAGACCTCAGGTTCTGCTTTAACGTTTCACTGCCCTGAGGGAGTGTGGTTTCTTTGCCCTGTCACAAGGGGTGGTATCAGCATCCCGTGAGCAGCATCATCTCTGGGGCTGCTTTTTGCCTGCTGAAATGTGAATTGAATGTTGAAGAGAAAGCTAATAGTGACTTTATTCCCTCTAATTATAACAGTTGTCTCTAGCTGTGGGTAATTACATCTCTCTTTCTCTCCCTAAATACACAGTGGAGGGAGTCACAGGACTGGCACATCTACCCCATCCTTGACAGCAGTTACTGATGGGTAATGTGATTAAAGTCAGAGAAAACAGTATTTTGTGTGTTTCAGGAATTGCCAGCTTGCTTGCCAAGGAAGGACAAAGCCCTTGGTGTCTCTGAAAGGTGTTACTGCACTAAAGTTACTAGAAGGTGCCTGTGAGGAGTAATCTCTACAAGTAGTTTACCAGAGCAATCCAAGAGGTTAGTAAAGCACATCTGGTTTAATGCAGCGTGTTACGATGCTTTGCCAGAAGACGGATGTGAAGCAGCTTTGGGCTGTTGTTGCTAGAGGTGACGTGTGCCTGTCTCAATGTATTTATATGTGGGGGTGTTTTCAGAGCTGTGCACAGAAAAACAACTGAATTATGAACTGGTTTTGGTCTATTTAATGTGAATGTCTACTGGAGCTCCAGTGTGTGTGTGGAGGGGAAGGATGTGCAGGAGGATTCACAACTGTACCTGAACTCAAGGGGATGCTGGTAGATGTGGGATCTCTCCTGATGACTGCTGTAGCTGCAAGAGACCATGAACTGAAGAACCACATTGCTGAATCACTTCAGTATTTCCAGTTCCTGCTCTGTGAGGAAGGACTCTGCAGGGAGTAAAGTGGGCAAAAGCTGCCCCATTGCTTTGTTCCTTCAGAGTAAATGCAACCAGAGGGAGCTGGTGCCTGGATCTAGCTCAGGCTGAACCCTGGGCAAGGATCCTCCCACCATTACTGCAGACCTTGAGCTCAGGCTGTCAGAGCAAAGCTGCCAGCCCTTGATTGACCTGCGTCTCACTGCAGCACAATCTGTGTCCTCCTCCAAGCTCCTCCTCTCTGTTCCAAGTAAAGCCAAAAGTCATTTTTGATACTGGTTTTTAATTAAAGCTGTACATTTTTCAGGTGCTGCTGATCAATGAGTGAATTCACAGTGTTCCTAAGGCGAGAACCTCCCCCTGCCCGCCCTCATTTCAATGCTTTCAGTGCACCCTTTCCCATGCATAGCTTTATAACACAGTGTTACACTAAAGCAGGCAGTTCATCCACAGGAGGGACCACTGCTGACACAGGGTCAGTCCAAAAGTGCTGAGACCATCAACCCTGTACCTTAGTGCAAGGGAGACACATGCTGTTGCTGTTGAGAACATGCACATCAGGCTGGAAGTGCACAAATAAAGCTAAATTAGCTGGAGATGAAACAGCTGGGGCTCTACATGAGTCTCTTTTCCAGTTACCTGCACATTGCTAAAGCCATCAGGTTCTCCACTTGAAACAAGCCAAGTCAGCTCTACAGACACTCCAAGCTCTAAAGAACTTAGAGCTTGTGCTTGAGCTGCTGCTGCCAAGATGAACAGAGCTGGTGCTGGTCCAAGAGCCCTCCCTGAGCACATAGGGTTCATCCTGCTCCTACTGTACATAAATCTCCTAAGGAACACACAGGTAACATCTGCAAACTGTCCAGTTACATTTAAACAGGGTAGCTGAGGCAGCTTGTGCAGCAGGATGAATTCTAACACTATAACTTAATAAAAGGCAACCAAACCCTTTAGCTTAACTTCTAGCAAGGGAAGAAATGTCCACAAACCTGGCAGCAGTGGGAAGTGATGCAATCCACACGTGAAAGATCCTGAAGTCAACTCTATTCCAGTGTTAGAAGCAATATAGTTTATAATTGGCACTGTTTAAAGCAACAACATGGGGGAAAGGATGATGGGAGCAGCTCCTCTATGTTCTCTGGAGCTGTGCACAACAAGGGTAGGTACAGCAGCACCAAGACAGTCACATGCTGCATGTGGAGGTAGAGAAGAACCTGCAGCATCCCAGGCCCTTCAGGGGGAATTTCACAGCTATTTACAGAGCTGCCATCAAGCCCTTCTATTTCCACCCCAAAAATAAAACTACTTTATAATGCACCTCCCACCACCTGCATAAAACCAAGCTCTGCACATCACTCACACTTAAAAACCCAAAACACAGTAGGTTCTGCACAACCTGAAGGAAGAGGCTGCAAAGTGATGAGGCTCAAGGGACCCTGCTGCTCCTCAGCTCTTGTTGTGAATAGAAGGCCACATAAATGCAGCTTTCAGCCAAGAGCTTCCCAGGCATCCTGGAGAGGGAAGCATCAATGGATGGGGAGCAGCACCTTGGTGTTTGCTGCCTGAACTCTGTCCTGCCTTGAGAAGTGTTTTCTGAAGCCAGTGCATTGGAGCACGTATCCCTCCGGGCCTCATCTCCACCTGGTGCTGCTTTGCATGGGGTCAGTGGTTTGGATGGCTCCCATAAGGCAGTGGTTGTGTTACACATCCCTATGCCACATTCCTATGTTGGCCTTCCATAAAAATAGGGAATAAAAGGAAAAATACCCAAACCTCACTGCAATGAGGGCTTCCGGAGTCAAGGTACTGCTGGACACGAGGAAAAACTCCAGCCTCTTCCCGGCTTCCTCTTGTGTATCCAAGGCTCGGTGTCACCTCATCCCTGCCCATGGAGCCAGCAGCTCCCTGCCTGCCCTTGTCCTGAGCAGGGAATGGGGTGACTGGTGTGGAGCTCTGAGCTCCTGCACTGTCACCAGTGTGGGTATCCTCCTCCAAAGCATCCCCTGACCCTCCACCACCAGCAGCCACAGCCACAGCCTGGCTGAAGGCACCCACAGGGACCAGGGTAACCAGGCATGGCGCTGGAGGGAGCACAGCACAGCAGCCTCACAACAAGCAGGTAAAAGACAGAATCCACTTCCCAAGTGCTGAATCTGATGGGAGCGAGAGCCAGATGGACACAGTCCAGGAGAAGCTCCCACCAGGATGGGGACAGCAGTGCCATGGCTGCTCACTTCTTCTCCAGGAAGGCGCTGAAGAGTCCCCAGTCAAATGCCAACATGGCCTGAGGGTTGGGCCTCTCCTTGGGCTTCTTGAAGTTGTCCTTCTCAGTGCGGAGGGTCCTCAGCACCTCCACTGGGTCCGTCTTGCCTGTGAACTTCTGCACAGCCTCTTCCCTGCAAGGAGACCAGCTCTGCTGGGAGTGGGGCGGGTGGGATGGCAACCCTCCTCCCTGATGGACAATGGGACCATCTCCCTGTGCTGGGGGTGCTGGGGGACACAGGGCCCATCTGTGGCACCCACGGTGTGTGTGGTGCAGGACCCTGTGTCTCCTCCCTCAGGGCTTGGAGTTGCCACCGGCCAGCGAAGCTGTTGGGAGAAGGGATGATGCTGGAAGGAAAAGGGGAGCAGAGCATGGGGCAGGACCAGTCTGGAGTGTCCCTGCAGTGGGGCCCATCACTGCTTACGTGACCCGCAGGAAGGGGTTGTAGAGGAACTCCTCCTGCAGCGTGGAGGGCACTGTGGGCAAGTCCTCGTCATCCCGCTGCTGCGGAGGAACCAGAGACATCCGAAAGCCCAACATCAGCCAGCAACCCCCTTTACACCCCACCCCAGCAGGGACACAGCCACTTACTTTGGCCCATGCGAGCTTCTTCTTCACTATTTCATTCTCTGGTTCCACTTTCAAGGCGAACTTGAGGTTCCGGACGGTGTATTCATGGCCACAGAACACCTTCTGCAACCAGCATCAAACATACTCCTGGCGCTGGATCTGACACTCACCCAGGTCCCACTGCAGCCCCAGGGATGGGCAATGCTACCCTCAAGCCCCCTCCTCGTTTTGGGGTTCCTTTCCTAGGCTGTAGGTGAGGTGTGGGGCACTCACCGTCTCCTCCGGCAGAGCCCCCAGGATTTGGGTGAGGTTGGTGTACATCTGCTCTGCTGTGCCCTCAAAGAACTTCCCGCAGCCTCCCACGAACAGAGTGTCACCTGCAGGGAATGGGGTACGGATATGGAGGGACCCTGGTCCCGCTCCCAGGGATGGGGGGACAGGCAGCAGGCACACAGCATGTCCTGTGTCCCCATGGGGTGCAGGTTCCAGGGTGTCATACCTGAGAATAGTGCCGGAGCATCAGGAGAGCCATCCTCCCACATGAAGTAGCACACGTGGCCCGAGGTGTGGCAGGGGGTGAAGAGGCACCTCACCCGGATGGCCCCAAACTGTGGGGGGAGAGGGTCAGGACCAAGCTGGTGTCACCCTGATGTGCAGTCAGACCCCCCCAGGCCCCACAGTGTCACCCACCAGGGGCTCAGCAGGTCACACACGTGCTAGGGATGCTGGTTTTGGGTGAGACCCATGTTCCATGAGTCTGCTCTGATGGTGTCCCAGGAAAGGGCTGCATCCCCCAGTGCAGTCCCAAAGGGGTTGGGAATGGGATGAGGCTTCTCCTCCAGCCCAATGCTCCATCCCAACCCCAACCTGTGGTGCCACACCTGCAACCACCCCAGCGCCATGTCTCAGCCCTGCTCCCCATCAACCCAGCACTACAGCCACACCATGGAGCAGGATTCGTGCAGGGTCCTATGGGCACGCACCATCAGCTCCTGCTCGTGGGTCACCTTGTGTGTCAGGGCCCCGATCCGCTCATCGGCACCGTACACGTGCAGGCCAGGGCAGAGCCTCGCTAGCTCCTCGTTGCCTCTCGCATGGTCCCTGCACCAGGAGAGGAGGGAATGGGCACCCAGTCCTGGTTCCACTTGGATCACAGCCACCCCAGTCCCCAGCTCACACTGGCAGCACTTACCAGTGATGATGGGTGGTGAGGATGGCTCTGAGCACCACGTCCTCCTTCCTGACGATTTCCAGCAACTGAAACAGACCCAGAGTATGGAATCATGGAATGGTTTGGGTTGGAAGGGACCTTCAAAGCTCATCTAGTCCAACCTCTTACAATGAACAGGGCATCTTCATCTGGATCAGGTTGCCCAGAACCACAGCAGTCAGCAGAAGGAAGAGCACCATGGCTCCCATGGCCACCATGCCTATCCCGGCGCAGGATCTGTCCCAGCGAGAGGCAGAGCACCCAAAACCACCTCCCGAGCAGCCCTGGGCTGTGGTTAGCATGAAGTCCCAGCTCTCCCAGCACAGAGCAGAGCAGGCAGACGGGAACACCCTGTTCCCATGGGACAGTGGCACTTTATGCCCGGTGCTTTCCCAGCCCAGCACGGACCATGGCGTTCTCACCACAGCAGGGAGACGGTGTCCACGCCACCCGTGCTGGCCACAGCGAGGAGCCGTGCAGGGCTGCCAGGACGGTTCTAACACCAACTTCACGTGCACCGCCTGGAACACCCCTGCGGCGGCTCCCGGTTCCGCTCCTCGGAGAGGAAGGAAACGTCCGAGTCAGCAACAAACGCTTAAAACCCGCGACAGCGCTGGCAGGATGCGCTGCGGCTGCGGGGGACACAAGCGGGTCTGTCACCGGCCCGGGGAGGCAGCAACAAGGAGTGATTTCTCCCGAGAATGGGGATTTCACATGGCAGCTGTGCTCCAAAGCTCTGTTCAGGGTTATTCTCCTTTGCTGTGGGGTCTGGCAGGCTCCAGCCCAGAGGGAAATGCCTCTGCCATGGAGGGAGGTCTGGAACAGGTACCCCAAACCATGGGGCTGAGCAGGGGTCAGCGATGCTGCTAGGATGCCCCATCTGAAGCCCCCACATGTGAACCCCACACATGCCCACCGCCACCATGGACGCGTCCCCGCATGGGACCCCACAACCCACCCGGGGCACAGCGGGGCTGCAACTCACCCTTTTGGGCACAGCAGCATCCACGGCGATGGCATCGCGGGTGCTCTCCTCGATGACCAGGTACATGTAGTTGTCCTCCAGGACGGAAATCACCTTCACCTTCATGCTCCCGCACCAGCACCGCCCGCAGGACGCGGGGGGGGCGGCCCCACGAAGCAGCACTAAGGGGGGTGGGGGGGTCCCAGCCCCGTGCAGCCGCGGGTGCGGGCACAGGGGGTGGTCGCTGTACCCGTGGCCGCCCCCGCAGGCCGCCCCACGCGTGACGCAGCCGGTACCTGCGGGAGGCCCCGTTGCGGCCCCTCCCGCAGCGCTCGGGCGCGTCCCGCCCCCCAACCCCCCCGGTGCGGGGCGGGTCCGGCTGCGTGGGGCGGTGACACCGAGCGGGGCACGGGGCCTCCCAGGAACCACCGCCCAGCACCGCACCGAGACCCGCATCACGCACCCGCTGCGGGGTTAACCCGCAACCGGGTACCACCAGGGGGAATCCGGACATGCGGTCCCCCAATATCCCGAAACGGGCTTGACAAAGTCACAGCCCCACAGGCAGAAGCAGCCACCATCAGCGTGCTCCAGGGAGAAGGATGAGGGGCTGCAGCAGGGCTGCGGGTGTCAGCTCCCACCAGGAATGGGAAGTGGCACCGGCACACAAGGGTAGGGACACATCTGAACACTGCAGTAGGAGCAGAGCTTCAGGAGACATGGGGCTATCACCTATAGAGCCCAAACAGCACCAAAGGCATGGGGGTAGACATACACAGAGCTTCAGCTTCATTCTCAGCCAGGCACAAGCTCTGATTTGGGGTTGATGTGGTCCTGTAAATGCCATGGGTGAAGGAGGGAACAGCCCCTGCAAGCAGGAAACAAGCACTGACCATGGCTCCAAGTTGTAACAAGACCTTGGATCAAGCCCCAGAGTATCCCAAAATACCCCCCTTGGATTACAGAATCGTAGTACGGTTTGGGTTGGAAGGGGCCTGTAAAGGTGGTCTAGTCCAACCAAGGGCTTTCCATAATGCACATACTCCACACCTCTGGACTTACACAGTAACTGGAATTTTAAATCCCAATCAATTCAGGCTCCATTGCACACCCTGAGCCTCCTTGTGACCCTTCTGTACTATACAAGTATGGGGATAGGAAGAGGGGATCTGCAGCTGGAACAACCTCATACAGTATTGGAGTATGAGGATTAGGTCAAAGGATGCCTCCAGTTGGTTGATTCAACCACTAGTACTGAAGAATTAAATCAACGAAACTGTATGATAAAAGCCTCCCCTCCTGCAGCCCACCTCACCAACGCTGGCTTTACAGTTGTCATTTATTTGCTCTCCATCAAACAGCCACCGGTACAATCACGCTCCGTTGTAGCAGCACAGCATTCAAGGTAGTGAAGATTCAGGTACCACTTTTCTGTCTGAACTACATCAAATTCACCTTTTTAAAGCAAATAAAGAAACGGTGCTACCCCAAACCCAGCTCAGACACTGAGGAACAGCAGCTTGTGGTCACACCGGGGACCCCAGGTGACAATCCATCGTGGGGTTACTTACCAACATGCACTGGGGAGAGGGGGAGAAAACAGAACCAAAATCATTTTGACACTTCTGTTAGTTTTAGCTGCAAAAGATTTGTTTGAAAACCTCTTGTACTTGAGCAGATCTGCAGCAAGCAGAGAGCATGATAAGGAAGGAGATACCATTAGGAGGAAGATGCATTACAGACACAGATGCCAAGTCCACAAGGATGCTCCTCACCCTTTACTCACATCTCTTGCGTGTGAAGACATCAAGCTGGAGGATGGGAAGTGCAGGACCCCCTCACTGCAAACTTGGATTAGTTTTCCCCCAAAATTTACCCCCCACTCTGACACACACTTGGAAAAGCCCTTTAAGCTCATCAAGTCCAACCATTGCCCAGCATTGCCAAGGCCACCACTAACCCATGGCACTGAGGGCCTTGTCTACATGGTGTGTGAACACTTGCAGGGATGGTGACTCCACCACTGCCTGTTCCAATGCCTGAGCACCCTTTTGGTGATAAAACTCCCCAGCACACACAGCCCCAAAGCCAGAGTCTCACCATAACAGTTGCTCTCCCGCTGGGGAACAGCAAACAGGTAGTAAAATACTCATTTGTCCTGTTACTCACAGCAAGGCACAAAGCAGCTGCCCTGGCTCTCAGCAGCAAGGCATCAGTAGAGGAGTCCCATCAGCACACAGTCACTAGGTAAGTGGTTTCTTCTCAGGATTTAGGCCAGCAGACAAATCCCTTCTTCATTTGTGTGGTACTAATACAAGTAACATACAGATCACGCTTGAAAGCAGTAAGCAGGTACATGCGGACAGGCGTAAGAGTGGAAGGTTTAAGCAACAGTGCAACCTCTAAGCAGCTGCCTGGTATTTACTGCAGCCCAGGGGAGGGAATGTCAGAGACAAAAGAGCTGGGCAGCCCCCAGGGGGCAGGGTCAGAGCAAGACGATGTCACCACCTGAGCCCCACACCAGCAGAGTGGGTCTGTCACCAAGAACTGGTTTTAGTGGAGCCAGAGGTGCCAGGCTTGGAGGCATTTAAGTAGCAGCATGGCAGGCAGGTTCAGCTCCTCAGCTGGCAATGCAGTTACTGCAGTTTGTCTGGTTTAGATGACGGTATCTCAGGGCACAGTCCCACTGTTGTTTGCAGCAGGCTCCTACAGACAGAACAAGAGCTTCTTCCTAGACCTCAGGGTTCGACCCTTCCCCACCCCAGGCTCTGAGCCACGTATCAACACTTGGAAAATGATGTGCATGTGACATGTGTGACAGTTTGAGAGCCAGAAATAGAAGGATAAATATTCTTCATCATAATATAAATATGCTGTAGAACATCTCAACAAGGGCAAAGTGCTTCTTTTTACCTTAATTAAAACAAAATAAAAGCCTAAATATGACTCAACCACAACAAAAGGTTCAACTCCTAAGACATCTGAACAGTCTAAATTACACTTGAACTGACATTAAAGTGATCCAGGCAGTGCTCAGTCCTTCGGGACTCGGAAATTATCCTTCTCTTTCCTGATGGCCCCCATTGTTCGGATGGGGTCGGTCTCCCCAGCATGCTCCTGAACTGTCTTCTCCCTGCCAGAGGAAAACACCACATGCAAGAACTGCAAGATAAAATCTCAGCGATGAAGTCACTACTATCACGTTTTGCCTGCATCAAGGGGAAATGTTGCACTTAAAGATGAAAGACTCGGGGCTCTGGCACAGGCTTATCGGCTCCCTTGGTTTAAATGCTCAATGGCAAGAGGAAATTGGAAATGCTTTTGTGCCTTGGACAGCATCTGCTGCTGCCAAACTCTGCTTTATGAGGGAATGGAATTACACAATGAAACTTGTTCTGTCTCCTGAGTCAGGGACTTCAGCACCGGCAGAGATGCTCACCACAACCCTTCATGCTGCACTGCAGCAAGCTTTTGCCAGGACAGCGAGTGTATCTGAAGGAGCATCCTGAGGGCATCAGCAGGAATATGTAAAGCAGAAGAGCAATTCCCAGTTACAGCTCTTTCTTTGGACACCTTCCCTTCCCGCATCCCCCTCCAAACACAGGGAGCATCCCCACACTTCCCCTGTACCTCACTCGCATGAAGGGGTTGTACGTAAACTCTTCTGCAATGGTGGAGGGTATGGTTGGCTCACCACTGTCGTACTTTGCCTGTAACAAGGGAGAGATTTCTGCTTCATGAGGAAGGTTTTAGTGAACAAGAAATGTCCTGTGTATGGACCATGCAGGGTTAGTGCTGCACTGAACTGCCTGAGCCGCTCCTCAGGCCAGGCCCTTCCCAGGGCAACACACAGCCAGCAAGCACTGAGGTGCACAGAGACACTGGGGACACACACCCTTGCAGACAGACACGGGCATCAGCATGTAATTATACCAAGAAGCTTCCAGGGAGGGTCACATCTCCACCAGGAGCAAACTGTCTTCTCTGGGCCACAAACAAACCCTGTTCCCCCACACGTCGCTCCCCTGGCCTCCCTTTCCTCAGTCTTTCTCCCCAACGTTGTCTTCTCTCCTCCACCTCCTCAGAAAAGCTTTGTCTCCATGAAGGCAACAAGCCTAGGGAAAGGATGAATGAGCTTACCTTGGCCCAAGCAAGCTTTTCCTGGATGGAAGCATTATTGGGTTCAACGTGTCGAGCAAACTTGAGGTTGTTGATTGTGTATTCGTGACCGCAGTAAACTCTCTAGGACAAGAAGGGAAGAGTGAGACTGGGTACCTCTGAAGGCGCAAAGCTGGAGCCACCAGGTACCACCATCAATGTGACCAACCCTCAAGGACACACCCCACCCTCCACTGGAGACCCACACAGGAGAAGTGCCAGGAATTATCAGCCAGTACTATCTGCCAATTCCACAGCAAGCCTGATGAAAGAGCCTAAGCGTCCCAGCTCATCAGCCTTGTTTTAATAAGTAGCCCCTACTCCGTCCCCACAAAGCACAAACATATGGGATAGGTATTTCCTTCCCCAAGCACTCCAGCTATTCAGCATCAAAGACAGTTCCCTATGTAAGCATTCATTCCTTCAACTCTCTCTTTGAACACTGTTATTAGGAAGACAGTTTCTCTGATGTCTGGAGTAATTTGTGGCTGGTTTAATTTACTAGCACAAAAGGAGGATTCGTACCGTTTTGGGGTCCAAGGTGCCCAAGATCTCAATCAGAGCTCTGTACATCTCCTCTGGGGTTCCCTCGAAGAATTTCCCACATCCAGCCACAAACAGTGTGTCACCTGCAAGGGAGGGTGACATTGTGTCAGGACCAGACACAGCTCCACACACCAAAGTGTGAGCACATGGACCAGAGGGCTCAGTCCTGCCACTGCTGTTCTCGCTGCAGCTCAGTAGAAGGCCTGGGGACAGTCAGGCTGTTCATGTGCTACATGAACCCACGTGGCAAACACAACTTGTGGGAAACCCTACAACCTCACCACGCAAACCTGTGGGCAGTCTGCCATCCCTTCCTGTCCCTTCTAGAGCAGACAAGGAATAACAGTGGTCTTTGCTAAGAAGCTGAACAAAAGTGGGTTGCTTCTGCATTTTCTCCTCAATGACCCCTAAAATCTTGCTTAAGCCATTCCTTCTTCTATGCAGCAGTTGGTGCAAGCTCTGGAGAACGCCCCTCAGGAGAGGAATGACATGACAGGGCACAGTCGCAGGGAAGGGGGGGATCCTACTCTCTAAAACAGGATGCAGAACCAGCTACAGGAGGTGAAGCACCAGCCCTCTCTTACTCCCCTATCTTCTTTCAGTTTTGTTACAGATATGAGTACAGATACATGAAAAACTAACAGGTTTTGGAATCAGCCACAGTTTGGTCTGAGACCATAAACCAACAGCTCTTTGTTCCAAAGAAGAGAATACTGATGTAGGACTCATCCAGGGCTCACTCTTGATGTTGCTTGCAGCGTGTCCAGCAGTGGTTTACAAACCCAGAGGGGTTTCATCAGTTTCAGCTACAACTACCACTTAGTAGCACTTGATAAGGGGGCAAGCCGTGGCAGTGTTAAAGGCCAGGCTGGATGGGGCTTGGAGCAACCTGCTCTAATGGAAGGTGTCCCTGCCCAAGGTAGGGGGTTGGAACTGGATGAGCTTTAAGGTCCCTTCCAACCTGAACCATTCTGTGATTCTAAGATGTCGATGTTAACCAACTGCACTGGCAGGAAGGGATGACTGCACGTCCAGAGTCAGAAGCACACAGGCAGAGGGGTAGCTCATCCTTTGCAACATAGACTGTGGCAATGCAACCTCCCAACTCCTCACCTGTAAAAACTGCAGGTGGCTCGGAGCTATTTGGCTTAGTCACATAATAACAGATGTGTCCAGAAGTGTGACACGGCGTACAGAGGCATTTCACATTAAGAGATCCCACCTGAGAAGAAGGCAGAAACTAGAGCTTAAGCTACTGTTGGCTAGCATTTGTATGGTTAGCAAAGAACTGCAACTATTACAGTGGTCCAGTGGTCCTACAGGCAAATTCTCATACAGCTCTGCTCCTGGGAGAGACCAGCAAGAGAGGTTTATGGCAGGGGCTTGGAAGGGAGCTGTCTCCTCCTAGCAGGTGTTGTGACAAAGGGAACTGCCAGAGTCTTTTATTTACATGCAGAGTGACCCAGCCTCTGGTTGGCAGCAAGAGCAAACAGAGCCTGAGCAATACACAATCCTAAACAAAGTTAATCAAGTGTAAAAAGCTCCAAACAAAAATGAAGCTGAAGGGAAGAAGTGGATAACAAGGGAAGGATTAAACACATTCATGAGGCTAGGGGGATGTTTCCCCCACAGCCCTGATTTGCACACCTTCCCATGTACTTCTGTGCTCCCTTTTTTGCTCATCCTCGCTCCCCAAAGGTGCATGCCAGGACTAGCAGTGCCATTCATGCCAGCCTGCACATTTCACAGCAGTTTATGTCATCTGCCTGTAAGCAGATCAGCGAGGTTCCAACAAGGTCTGCTGCTCTAGCTCTGGAAAGCAGTGCAGGCTGCTAGCACTGCTGGCCCACTTTCTCTTCCCCCTGTATTCCAGCCTTCCTTCAGAGAGGACCACTTATGTTTTTCTAGTGCCACCTACACTTCAAGCAGAGTGCAAGCCCTGTCCTGTCACACATCTGTTCCGAGCACCCCAGTTAAGGTAGCTGTCAAGGAGCTCAGGGACATCCAACATGCTCCAGGCAATGAGGTTTCCAGGCCATGCCAATGTCCTCATCAGTGATGTATCACCCACCAAAACAAGACTTAAACTATCAGCTGCATCCAAGAGATATTAAAAGGTAAAAGAGCTGTGACCACAATATTAGCTGAAGTTGGACCACTCCAGAGGTCCAGCTCTAAAGCTGTGACACACAGAGGAGATGCCTCTAGCCAAGTCCTGCAGCTCACTGCCTTTACCTTAAGGGATGTAAGGTGAGACACTTTCTGGGTCAGGGCTCCGACTCTGCTGTCTCCCCCATAGACACGCAACCCCGTCTCCATCTTCACCAGCTTCTCGTTTCCTCCAGCATGGTCCCTGGAAGAGCAGAACAATGGATTTGGGCGGGATGAAGACAAATTTATCATAACTCATATTGCAATGGTAACCTCCAGGTGATCATCTCTAATCTACTATTCTCCCAGTATCTAACATTGTTCTCATATCAAGGAATACGTCACATCAACACGAGTGGGGACAATTTCTCCAGTAATCAGGGCAGTGAAACAACCCCCACAAGTTCATACCTAGGTGGAAAACACCAGCCTTAGGGGCTTACAGTCAACTCTCCAGTAACTAAGACTGGGATAAGTGGAATACGTGTAACTCAGTGTTCCACAAGACACCATGGAGCAGGCACAACAGCTCAGCATGTGCTCACAGTGCTGATCCTGCCAGATCAGGGCTGGCTATCCAGCCACAGAGGTGGCTCCACTATGACCCATGGGAGAGGTTGCTCAGGGTCAGCACTGCAGAACTGCTGAAGCAAAACATTCACCTTTACATCCCTGGCAGAGTTAATCTGCAACGCAGGTAATCCTCCCACCAGTGCTGACTGAGTAGCACGCCTTACAGGCATGCCCTAGCACCTCAGTGTGAGCAAGGTGCACGCCACAGCTCTCTTCACACACAGCTATTTCACCTGAAAGAAGTCAGCATCTTAAAATTCAAAGGCACTGGCACACAGAGCTTGCATCTAGACAATCTATTTGGTTGATAGCAAACCCAAGGGAATGCTTCCCCGCTCCAATCTTTCCACTCACACCTAAGCTCCTGCTTAGAGACCAATCTGATCCAGAAAAGCAACAATTCTTGACTGCCTGTGTTTATACAGAGGGAAGAGGGATCCCACTACAGCCGATAGTTACCAGTGGTGATGGGTGGTCAGGACAGTTGTCAGCTTCACCCCATGCTTTTTGACAGCATCCAAAACCTGCAGGCACAGGGCAGAGCAAGAGCATTACAACTCATGTGAAATGACTTGACAGCATAACTGGTGCCTGGTGTAATCTGAACACAACTGCTCCAAGGTTTGCAAGAGCCCCAGCAACTCTCCAAGTTGTAATTACAGATCAGGACAAAAGGTCTCTGATCCAGACAGTCATGACTAAGCCCTCAGTAACATTTCCTCTTTCCTGCACTACATGAAACTGAGGGCAAAAACCAAAATCAGGTCAATAACCCCTGAATTCAGGGACAAGCTGTCTGAGCCCAGAAGAAGATGCCTGTGAAGCTGTGTTGTACCTGTGCATGGCCAGTATTTCCTGCCTTTGCCCCAAGCCTGAGTCAGCATATGACTAATTCCGTCATGGATGTGGCAACCTGGAAGGATGTCCCAGACTTGCTGCAGTGAGCACCCTGCTCACAAGAGCAGCAGACAGCATTACCTTCTGGGGCTGCACAGGATCCACTATTGCAGCCTCCTTCGTTTCCTCATCGATGAGGAGGTACATGTAGTTGTCTGTAAGGGCTGGGAGCAATTCCACCTTCATGTTGGCTTGTGTGATGGTCTTTGACTTCCTCTGCTCGTGCTCTGTGTGCAAGAAGATAGCTCGCAGCTGTGCTGGACCTGGGGACCCCAAGACAGTCAAACCCCAGGTTAGTCCAGTGAGAGGAACAAGTGGGACAGAGCACAGCAGGTCCCCACCTCACAGCCCGAGAAGGAAGGGTATGGACAGCCCAACCTGCCTGCTTCAGAGGCCACCATGGGGCAAAGACTTCGTGCCTGGCTGTGTCATCTTGTGCCCCACTCCACCAGAGGCCCTTGGTGCCCTGCATCTGCACCAAAGAGGGATGAAACACTCTGCTCCCAGAGATGTGCTCATGCAGGGAAAGCACTGCACCTCAGTTAGAGAGAAGGTTTCAAGGGGCAGGAAAGCAGAAGGGAGAGGGAGCAGCTGGACAAAGGTCGGCCCAGGACAGTGACTTTGCAAATAAAAGCACAGATGGCCTTGTTACAGCCAAAGGACAAAAAAAGGAGAACTACACGAATGCACACACTGCTACAAGAGCAATATCTGGCTTGTTACTTGGGAAAATCACATCCTGCACATGCATAGAGAGAAGATGGTCTCTCACATGGCAGGCAAGGCTCTTGCCTTGCCAGGTACCAGGCACGAACTGCAGGCAGGTTTCTTGCTCACAGGCCACCTTGATGGAACAGCAGTGCTTCCCTATTTGCTTTTGGTTAAATGTTTAATCAGATCCAAGCAGCAAACCTAATTCCAGATGCAACCTGGGCTCCACTGTTCAACTCACAGACAAATAGGCCTTAAAGAAACCATGAAGCAACAAAGAGGACAAGGTCCTCCACTGCTGGGGCTCTGGTCCATACATACACACAGGGAAAGAGGTGTCGGTCTCTGCAAGTCACAGATCAGTTGTCTTAACATCTCAAGGCCCTCACACACCACTAAGTGTGACTGTGCTGCTCTGAACTGGGCTGGCTCAGCCCCTGCTCCATTCTGCACCACCGACTCTTCTCCCCAAGGCTCCAACTCTCCGTGCTTGGTCACCTCAACCAGTGCCAGAGAGGTCACCACGCTCGTAATCAGCCTGCCCCATGCTCCCAAACTACATCTGTGCTGCCCAGCCTTGATAAGAGCCTGCGCTGGGAAGAAGAGGCCCCAGACTGCCTACAGCCAAAACAGACACATCCCCCCCACACCCCCACAGTGACAACAGGCTGCAAAACCAAGATCCAAGCTCTGACCGGGGTGCGCAGCTCTAAACCCAGCCCAGGGAGGCTGTAAGGCCCCTCTGGCACTACTGCCCTGCCCAGAACTTTGTCCCTTTCTGCCTCCACCATCCCACTTGACTATGGTGGAAGGAAGGTGGGAGTAAAATTAAACACAGTGCTACAAGGAGAACTGTAAGGCACAACAGTGTAAGCATGCACTGGGTACTTGATGGTGAAGGAATGTAGTACTGAGGAAAGCATCCCTACCTGCTGACAGTTCTTCTGGAGCAGAAGAGGCCTTTCAAAAAAAAAGAACAAAAAAACCCTTACTATTCCTTGATAGGGAAAAATAATCAATTTTGTCTTTCACTGCTGCCTAATGCGATGGCAGTTTGGATGGTAGTCACATTTGGATGCTGTCATCAGTCACAAGAGCTGTATATAATGCACGTTTGTTTGTGTGCTAGACACCAACTAGAGGGGAAACACAGGGGGAAGGGGAAAAAAAAAAAGAGAACAAAACACTACTTTAACGTCAAGTCAAAGGAATTACTCACCCACTTAAAACACTTTCTTCCTCAGAAGCATTTCTAACCTTGGCCCTGATTCCAAAGTCTCTTTGCGTGTTTAATTCACCATTCTTGCAAAACAAACAAACAAGCAACACCGCAAAAAGAAGCGTCTTCCAAAATGTGACTTAAGACAAAGGAATGAGAAAACACAACGTATGAAACTCCTTCTGAATTCCCATCTGCACCTTTCCAGCCTGCTGGCTCGGTGAGCAGAGCAGAGCAGAGCCTGAGCTGCTCGTGAGAGGGACATGTTCTCCAGCACCATTCTGCTCAAGGAAGCTCCCCAGGTGACACAAAACCCCTGCCCTGGCCCAGCACTAACACACAGCATCTACGATCGTATCATAGGATCATAGAAGGGTTTGTGTTGCAAGGGACCTTAAAGCTCGTCCAATTCCAACCTCCTGCCACAAGCAGGGACACCTTCCACTACAGCAGCTTGCTCCAAGCCCCTGTGTCCAACCTGCCCTTGAACACTGCCAGGGATGGGGCAGCCACAGCTTCTCTGGGCATCCTGTGCCAGCGCCTCAGCACTCTCACAGGGAAGAGCTTCTGCCTAAGAGCGCATCTCAGTCTCCCCTCTGGCAGGTTAAAGCCATTCCCCTTGGCCTGCCCCTACCTGTCCTTGTCCAAAGCTCTTCTCCAGGTTTCCTGTAGCCCCGTTAGACACTGGAGCTGCTCTAAGGTCTCCCCTTCAGGAGCCTTCTCTTGTCCAGGCTGACCCAGCCCAGCTCTCTCAGCCTGGCTCCAGGGCAGAGCCGCTCTGTAACGCATGGATCACTGCACTACGTGCAGGTCTGCTCTAAAATTAACACCTGATGACTTCATTTTTGCTTGGTTTTGTAACATGTCCCTCCCAGCTTCATGCCTGAAGCGGAGTGAGACAGGCAGAGCAGAGCACCAGCAGCCTTTGACTCACACTGGGCTGTCTGGGACAGTTCTATCATGCAACGAGTCATCAAGAGGGAAGGGTTTGCAGAGGGGAGATGTTAATATTATCACACAGATGCATGCATGCTGGAGACTGAAGGCAGGCAGGCAGCAGCACGGTGGAGAAAAGGAGGTTCCCTCAGAAAAGGGGAGGTTCCCTCAGAAAAGGGATGCTTCCCCTTTTCCACAGAATTTTGGTTTATTCATTTTATTACAGAAAAGAGTGGAAAAATCCTATTTCAGACACAGCTGTCACTCAAAAATGACTGCCCACACATACCCAGGTGCATGTCCCTGCATTGCCTGAGAAAGAAACACTCCATTCCATTTTATATGCTCCACACACAGATATTTTTCACATACCCTGCAATTTTGTGGCTCCACACACCACCGAGTGAGTCGGTTCATGAACCACAGGCAACTCCCATTCCCACTTAACTTGCCAACCTGACTGGCACATGCTGCCAGCAGCATGGCCAGGGCCACCCACTGTCACCAAAGCCTGCATGGGATGTGCAGCATCCACCCAGCACCCTGGGGGAGCTCGGGAGCAGCTAGTACTGGGTTTGACACATTTGTTCCTACGACAGCATCAGGGTTTGCAAGTCTGGCAGTTAACTCCAATGAATTCTCAGTCATGAAAGACAGATCTTAAAACCGGAGCAACACAATAGCAAGACTTCCCAGAGGCACTGTGAAGCTAAAGCCCAGACTCCAATTCAAAGCCATTGGCAGAATTTAGGCCCTAAACGTAAACGCAAAAGCTCAGGTTTGGTATTGCTTTTTTGTTTACGTTGCCAATGCAATGTGCCACGCATCAAATCCACTGTAAACACCAGCCTCATCCCCGAGCCCTCCTCCCATCCCAAAGACCTGCGCTTTGCCAGCCCAGGCTCCATAGGCGCCTCCCAGCTGTGTTATCGATAGAAACCGTCCGCAGAGCCCGGCTCCAGCTGAGCAGAAACTGACCTACTTGGGGCTGTGAGTCAGCTTAAAAGCCTGGGCGCACCCCTAAGCTGGAAAACGAGATCAGAAAATCCACCGTCACATCTCCGAGCTTGGCGGGGACCCGCTGCCAAACCCGGGTCCGCCGGCAGCCACCCAGCTCTCCGCACGGCCCCTCCGCCCCGGTACTGCCCAACCCCGGCCCCGCTGCAAGGCGACAGCTCCCCGCGCCCCACTGCCCGCCCCTACAGGTCCTAACCGGGAGCACCACCGCCGCCCGCCCCACGTACCGGCTCGGAGCAGGGCCCCAGCTCCCAGGGCGGCTAGGGCGGTGCCGAGGCCCTGCCAGCCCCCGACGAGCATGGTGCAAAGCGCCCCGCCCGGTGCCCAGCCCCGGCCCCGGTTACCTTTGCTCTCCGCCCCGCGGCCGGCCCCGGGGAGGCGGGCAGCGGCGCCCGGGACGGCCCTGCACGGCCCCGGCCCGGCGTGCGGCAGGGGCGGTGCTGCGCGGCTCGGCGTCCTCCTGCCTCCCCGCTGCCGCTCGGCACGCCCGGCACGGGCGATTCGCTGACCCGGGTGAGGAGGCGGGGGACGAGCGGCAGCACCGGGCGGTCGCGGCGGGCAGGGAGCGGGCCGGAGGCGGCAGCGGGGCTCCGGGCCCGGCAAGGACAGCCCAAGGGCGAAGAGGAGCCGGCGCGGCCATGGCTTCCTCCAAACCCTTGTCTCGATTCTGGGAGTGGGGCAGGAACATCGTGTGTGTGGGGCGGAACTACGCGGAGCACGCCAAGGAGATGGGCAGCGCGCTGCCCCGCGAGCCCCTCTTCTTCCTCAAGCCCTCCACGGCCTATGTGCGCGAAGGGTCGCCTATCCTGCGGCCGTACTATTGCAGCAACCTGCACCATGAAGTGGAGCTGGGGGTGGTGATCGGGAAGAGAGCCCAGGCCGTGCCCCAGGAGGCTGCCATGGAACACGTGGCTGGCTATGCCCTCTGCTTGGACATGACAGCCAGGGACACGCAGGAGGAGTGCAAAAAGAAGGGTCTGCCCTGGACCTTGGCCAAGGGCTTCAGTTCATCGTGCCCAGTGAGCGACTTTGTGCCCAAGGAGAAGATCCTAGACCCTCACAAGCTGAAGATCTGGCTCAAGGTGAATGGGCAGCTAAGGCAGGAAGGGGACACCTCCTCCATGATCTTCTCCATCCCTTACCTGATCAGCTACATCAGTGAAATAGTCACCCTGGAAGAAGGAGACTTGATTCTGACAGGATCTCCCAAAGGTGTTGGGTCTGTGCAGGCCAACGACGAGATAGAGGCAGGGATAAAAGATGTCCTGTCCATGCGGTTTAAGGTGGCACAGCAGACACGCAGGTCCTAACCAGGAGCATGGCTGAGACCCCATCTGCATAGGAAGAGGCTCTTTCGGGAACATCTGTTTAATGAGGAGGTGCACAACGTGTCCTGTGCATTAAACACCTGTATGGGCCAAGCATCTAGCGGACTATAGCACGTCAAAGACACACAGCCCATGAGATCAAAAGACATTTGACTGAACCAACCCCATTTCCATGAGGCTTTGCCCACCTGAGGCTGTGCACATGGAGCCCAACTCAGCTTGGGGCACATGGTTCACGTGTCAACAGTTGGAACTGTTCATGGAGACAGTGGGCTGGGGAGGGAGCTGGGCTGGGCTGGGCTGGCCGCCACTGTGTGCTCTTGTGTGCTGGTACTGCTTTGAGCCAGGTATTGTCTTAAAATAAAAAGAAACCCATTAAGTAAGTACCTGTTACATAAGTAACACATTAAGAGGTACCTTGGAACTGGCAATGGGGACAGTGGTCTGGGGAAGGAGCTGGACTGGCCATCACTCTGTGCTCTTGTGTTGTGCTACTGCTTTGAGCCAGGTATTGCCTTAAAATAAAAATAAACCCATTAAGAAAGTACCCATTAAGAAAGTAACTCATTAAGTGGTACCTTGGAACTGTCCATGGGGACAGTGCTCTGGGGAGGGAGCTGGTCTGGCCGTCACTGTGTGCTCTTGTGTTCTGCTACTGCTTTGAGGCAGGTATTGCCTTAAAATGAAAGGAAACCTAGTAAGGAAGTACCCATTAAGTAAGTAACACATTAAGTGGTACCTTGGATCTGTCCATGGGGACAGTGGTCTGGGGAGGGAGCTGGTCTGGCCATCACTGTGTGCTCTTGTGTTCTGCTACTGCTTTGAGCCAAGTATTGCCGTAAAATGAAAGGAAACCCATTAAGTAAGTACCCATTAAGCAAGTAACTCATTAAGTGGTACCCTGGAACTGTCCATGGGGACAGTGGTCTGGGGAGGCATCTGGGCTGGCTGTCACTGTGTGCTCTTGTGTTCTGGTACTGCTTTGAGGCAGGTATTGCCTTAAAATGAAAATAAACCTAATAAGTATGTACCCATTAAGTAAGTAACTCAACTTAATATGTTACTAAGTGGTACCTTGGAACTGTCCATGGGGACAGTGGGTTGCGGAGGGAGCTGGACTGGCCGTCACTGTGTGCTCTTGTGTTGTGCTACTGCTTTGAGCCAGGTATTGCCTTAAAATGAAAATAAACCCATTAAGTAAGAACCCATTAAGTAAGTAACTCAATAAGTGGTACCTTGGAACTGTCCATGGGGACAGTGGTCTGGGGAGGTATCCGGGATGGCCGTCACTGTGTGCTCTTGTGTTGTGCTACTGTTTTGAGGCAGGTATTGCCTTAAAATGAAAAGAAACCCATTAAGTAACTACCCATTAAGTAAGTAACACATTAAGTGGTACCTTGGACCTGTCCATGGGAACAGTGGTCTGGGGAGGGAGCTGGTCTGGCCATCACTGTGTGCTCTTGCATTCTGGTACTGCTTTGAGGCAGGTATTGCCTTAAAATGAAAGGAAATCCATTCAGTAAGTACCCATTAAGTAAGTAGCACATTAAGTGGTACCTTGGAACTTTCCATTGGAACAGTGGTTTGGGGATGGAGCTGGGCTGGCCATCACTGTGTGCTCTTGTGCGCTGGTACTGCTTTGAGGCAGGTATTGCCTTAAAATGAAAATAAACCCATTAAGTAAGTACTCATTAAGTAAGTAACACATTAAGTGGTACCTTGGAACTGTCCATGGGGACAGTGGTCTGGGGAGGGAGCTGGGCTGGCCATCACTGTGTGCTCTTGCATTCTGGTACTGCTTTGAGGCAGGTATTGCCTTAAAATAAAAAGAAACCCAATAAGCAAGTACCCATTAAGTAAGTAACACATTAAGTGGTACCTTGGAACTTTCCATGGGGACAGTGGTCTGGGGAGGGAGCTGGGCTGGCCATCACTGTGTGCTCTTGTGTTCTGCTACTGCTTTGAGCCAAGTATTGCCTTAAAATGAAAGGAAACCCAATAAGCAAGTACCCATTAAGTAAGTAACACATTAAGTGGTACCTTGGAACTGTCCATGGGGACAGTGGTCTGGGGAGGGAGCTGGGCTGGCCATCACTGTGTGCTCTTGCATTCTGGTACGGCTTTGAGGCAGGTATTGCCTTAAAATAAAAAGAAACCCAATAAGCAAGTACCCATTAAGTAAGTAACACATTAAGTGGTACCTTGGAACTTTCCATGGGGACAGTGGTCTGGGGAGGGAGCTGGGCTGGCCATCACTGTGTGCTCTTGTGTTCTGCTACTGCTTTGAGCCAAGTATTGCCTTAAAATGAAAGGAAACCTAGTAAGTAAGTACCCATTAAGTAAGTAACACATTAAGTGGTACCTTGGAACTTTCCATGGGGACAGTGGGTTGGGGAGGGAGCTGGTCTGGCCATCACTGTGTGCTCTTGTGTTGTCCTACTGCTTTGAGCCAGGTATTGCCTTAAAATAAAAAGAAACCCAATAAGTAAGTACCCATTAAGTAAGTAACACATTAAGTAGTACCTTGGAACAGTCCATGGGAACAGTGGGCTGGGAAGGCATCTGGTCTGGCTGCCACTGTGTGCTCTTGTGTTGTGCTACTGCTTTGAGGCAGGTATTGCCTTAAAATGAAAAGAAGCCCATTAAGTAACTACCCATTAAGTAAGTAGCACATTAAGTGGTACCTTGGAACTGTCCATGGGGACAGTGGTCTGGGGAGGGAGCTGGGCTGGCCATCACTGTGTACTCTTGCATTCTGGTACTGCTTTGAGCCAGGTATTGCCTTAAAATGAAAGGAAACCCATTAAGTAAGTAACACATTAAGTGGTACCTTGGAACTGTCCATGGGGACAGTGGGTTGGGGAGGGAGCTGGGCTGGCCGTCACTGGGTGCTCTTGTGTTCTGCTACTGCTTTGAGGCAGGTATTGCCTTAAAATGAAAATAAACCCATTAAGTAAGTACCCATGAAGTAAGTAACTCATTAAGTGGTACCTTGGAACTGTCCATGGAGACAGTGGTCTGGGGAGGGAGCTGGTCTGGCCATGACTGTGTGCTCTTGCATTCTGGTACTGCTTTGAGGCAGGTATTGCCTTAAAATGAAAGGAAACCCATTAAGTAAGTACCCATTAAGTAAGTAACACATTAAGTGGTACCTTGGAACTGTCCATGGGGACAGCGGGCTGGGGAGGTATCTGGGCTGGCCGTCACTGTGTGCTCTTGTGTTGTGCTACTGCTTTGAGGCAGGTATTGCCTTAAAATAAAAATAAACCCATTAAGTAAGTAACACATTAAGTGGTACCTTGGAACTGTCCATGGGGACAGTGGTCTGGGGAGGGAGCTGGTCTGGCCATCACTGTGTGCTCTTGCATTCTGGTACTGCTTTGAGGCAGGTATTCCCTGAAAATGAAAGGAAACCCATTAAGTAAGTACCCATTAAGTAAGTAACACATTAAGTGGTTCCTTGGAACTGTCCATGGGAACAGTGGTCTGGGGAGGGAGCTGGGCTGGCTGTCACTGTGTGCTCTTGTGTTCTGCTACTGCTTTGAGCCAGGTATTGCCTTAAAATGAAAATAAACCCATTAAGTAAGTACTCATTAAGTAAGTAGCACTATAAGTGGTATCTTGGAAATGTCCATGGGGACAGTGGTCTGGGGAGGGAGCTGGGCTGGCCATCACTGTGTGCTCTTGTGTTGTGCTACTGCTTTGAGGCAGGTATTGCCTTAAAATGAAAATAAACCTAGTAAGTAAGTACCCATTAAGTATGTAACACATTAAGTGGTACCTTGGAACTGTCCATGGGGACAGTGGTCTGGGGAGGGATCTGGGCTGGGGAGGGAGCTGGGCTGGCTGTCACTGTGTGCTCTTGTGTTCTGCTACTGCTTTGAGGCAGGTATTGCCTTAAAATGAAAAGAAACCTAGTAAGTAAGTACCCATTAAGTAAGTAACACATTAAGAGGTACCTTGGAACTGTCCATTGGAACAGTGGGCTGGGAAGGCATCTGGTCTGGCCATCACTGTGTGCTCTTGTGTTGTGCTACTGCTTTGACCCAGGTAATGCCTTAAAATGTAAAGAAACCCATTAGGTAAGTACCCATTAAGTATGTTGCACATTAAGTGGTACCTTGGAACTGTCCATGGGAACAGTGGTCTGGGGAGGGAGCTGGGCTGGCCATCACTGTGTGCTCCTGCTTTCTGGTACTGCTTTGAGGCAGGTATTGCCTTAAAATGAAAGGAAACCCATTAAGTAAGTACCCATTAAGTATGTAACACATTAAGTGGTACCCTGAAACTGTCCATGGGGACAGTGGTCTGGTGAGGGAGCTGGGCTGGCCATCACTGTGTGCTCTTGCATCCTGGTACTGCTTTGAGGCAGGTATTGCCTTAAAATAAAAAGAAACCCATTAAGTATGTACCCATTAAGTAAGTAACACATTAAGTGGTACCTTGGAACTGTCCATAGGTACAGTGGGCTGGGGAGGTATCTGGGCTGGCCGTCACTGTGTGCTCTTGTGTTGTCCTACTGCTTTGAGCCAGGTATTGCCTTAAAATAAAGAGAAACCCGTTAAGTAAGTACCCATTAAGTATGTTACACATTAAGTGGTACCTTAGAACTTTCCATGGGGACAGTGGTCTGGGGAGGGAGCTGGGCTGGTCGTCACTGTGTGCTCTTGTGTTGTGCTACTGCTTTGAGGCAGGTATTGCCTTAAAATGAAAAGAAACCTAGTAAGTAAGTACCCATTAAGTAAGTAACACATTAAGTGGTACCTTGGAACTGTCCATGGGGACAGTGGTCTGGGGAGGAGCTGGGCTGGCCATCACCGTGTGCTCTTGCATCCTGGTACTGCTTTGAGGCAGGTATTGCCTTAAAATGAAAAGAAACCTAGTAAGTAAGTACCCATTAAGTAAGTAACACATTAAGTGGTACCTTGAACCTGTCCATGGGGACAGCAGGCTGGGACAGTGGGCTGGGGAGGTATCTGGGCTGGCCGTCACTCTGTGTTCTTGTGTGCTGGTACTGCTTTGAGGCAGGTATTGCCTTAAAATGAAAGGAAACCCATTAAGTAAGTACCCATTAAGTAAGTAACACATTAAGTGGTACCTTGGAACTGTCCATGATGACAGTGGTCTGGGGAGGGAGCTGGTCTGGCCATCACTGTGTGCTCTTGCATTCTGGTACTGCTTTGAGGCATGTATTCCCTGAAAATGAAAGGAAACCCATTAAGTAAGTAACACATTAAGTGGTACCTTGGAACTTTCCATGGGGACAGTGGTTTGGGGAGGGAGCTGGGCTGGCTGTCACTGTGTGCTCTTGTGTTCTGCTACTGCTTTGAGACATGTATTGCCTTAAAATAAAAAGAAACCCATTAAGTAAGTACCCATTAAGTATGTAACACATTAAGTGGTACCTTGGAACTTTCCATGGGGACAGTGGTCTGGGGAGGGAGCTGGGCTGGCCATCACTGTGTGCTCTTGTGTGCTGGTACTGCTTTGAGCCAGGTATTGCCTTAAAATGAAAATAAACCTAGTAAGTAAGTAACACATTAAGTGGTACCCTGGAACTGTCCATGGGGACAGGGGTCTGGGAGGGAGCTGGGCTGGGGAGGGAGCTTCGCTGGCCATCACTGTGTGCTCTTGTGTTCTGCTACTGCTTTGAGCCAGGTATTGCCTTAAAATAAAAAGAAACCCATTAAGTAAGTACCCATTAAGTATGTAACACATTAAGTGGTACCTTGGAACTGTCCATGGGGACAGTGGTCTGGGGAGGAGCTGGGCTGGCCATCACCGTGTGCTCTTGCATCCTGGTACTGCTTTGAGCCAGGTATTGCCTTAAAATGAAAATAAACCTAGTAAGTAAGTACCCATTAAGTAAGTAACACATTAAGTGGTACCTTGGAACTGTCCATGGGGACAGTAGGCTGGGACAGTGGGCTGGGGAGGTATCTGGGCTGGCCGTCACTGTGTGCTCTTGTGTGCTGGTACTGCTTTGAGCCAGGTATTGCCTTAAAATGAAAAGAAACCCAATAAGTAAGTACCCATTAAGTAAGTAACACATTAAGTGGTACCTTGGAACTGTCCATGGGGACAGTGGTCTGGGGAGGGAGCTGGTCTGGCCATCACTGTGTGCTCTTGTGTTGTGCTACTGCTTTGAGGCAGGTATTGCCTTAAAATAAAAAGAAACCCAGTAAGTAAGTACCCATTAAGTAAGTAACACATTAAGGGGTACCTTGGAACTGTCCATGGGGACAGTAGGCTGGGACAGTGGGCTGGGGAGGGAGCTGGGCTGGCCGTCACTCTGTGGTCTTGTGTTGTGCTACTGCTTTGAGGCAGGTATTGCCTTAAAATGAAAGGAAACCTAATAAGTAAATACCCATTAAGTAAGTAACACATTAAGTGGTACCTTGGAACTGTCCATGGGGACAGCGGTCTGGGGAGGGAGCTGGGCTGGCCATCACTGTGTGCTCTTGCATTCTGGTACTGCTTTGAGGCAGGTATTGTCTTAAAATGAAAGAAAACCCATTAAGTAAGTACCCATTAAGTAAGTAACACATTAAGTGGTACCTTGGAACTGTCCATGGGGACAGTGGGTTGGGGAGGGAGCTGGGCTGGCCGTCACTGGGTGCTCTTGTGTTCTGCTACTGCTTTGAGGCAGGTATTGCCTTAAAATGAAAATAAACCTAGTCAGTAAGTACCCATTAAGTATGTAACACATTAAGTGGTACCTTGGATCTGTCCATGGGGACAGGGGTCTGGGGAGGGAGCTTCGCTGGCCATGCTCTTGTGTTCTGCTACTGCTTTGAGGCAGGTATTTCCTTAAAATGAAAATAAACCTAGTAAGTAAGTACCCATTAAGTAAGTAACACATTAAGTGGTACCTTGGAACTGTCCATGGGGACAGTAGGCTGGGACAGTGGGCTGGGGAGGTATCTGGGCTGGCCGTCACTCTGTGCTCTTGTGTTGTGCTACTGCTTTGAGGCAGGTATTGCCTTAAAATAAAAATAAACCCATTAAGTAAGTACCCATTAAGTAAGTAATACATTAAGTGGTACCTTGGAACTGTCCATGGGGACAGTGGGTTGGGGATGGAGCTGGGCTGGCCATCACTGTGTGCTCTTGTGTTGTGCTACTGCTTTGAGCCAGGTATTTCCTTAAAATGAAAATAAACCTAGTAAGTAAGTACCCATTAAGTAAGTAACACATTAAGTGGTACCTTGGAACTGTCCATGGGGACAGTGGGCTGGGAAGGCATCCGGGCTGGCCGTCACTCTGTGCTCTTATGTTCTGCTATTGCTTTGAGGCAGGTATTGCCTTAAAATGAAAATAAACCCATTAAGTAAGTACCCATTAAGTAAGTAACATATTAAGTGGTACCTTGGAACTGTCCATGGGGACAGTGGTTTGGGGATGGAGCTGAGCTGGCCGTCACTGTGTGCTCTTGTGTTCTGGTACTGCTTTGAGCCAGGTATTGCCTTAAAATGAAAATAAACCCATTAAAACCGTGATGTAGCAGCTAAAGCTCACATGTGCTGTGTAAAAATCAAAGCTGTACCTGTAACAGTGAATCAAGAATTGGAGCTTCAGAATTAATTCATCTCCTTGGGGCATTCTACAATAAAAAGATGTTTGCTTTTTAGCTCGGTTTCATGATTCCTCCGTGCATTTTTCAAACATACAAGATTAAATGAGGATCGCTTTTCCTCCCACTCCAAGGGGTGTAATACAGCAGGAAGTGTGCCAGATGTTTGCCAGATTCATCCTTTTTTCCCCTAAACTGAGCTTTAAATACACTTCTAAAAGTAAAAAAAAAAACACAAAAGATGAAGGCTAAAGAAGCTCATTTGGAAAGATCACCAGTGAACTTGTCTTTAGCAGATTTAAATATAGTTTTAATAAAAATCTAACCACAGCACTTGCTGTTTCTTACACAAGGCAGCAGTTGGAGTTTCTAAACATGCCCAGCTGTAAAAAGCCACACTGTGTAACTTCCCGTTTCCAAACTCCAGCTGATGGAACGCTCCTCACCGCTGCATGTCAGCGAGTTCTCTTTCAACTCAAAGGAGTAACAGAGTTAGGTGGTAAAATGTAATTAAATCCCTCCCCCCTAAACTTCAAAACTTACCATTTTGAAGGGTTGAACAGAACTGACTAATTGCAGACAAAACCAGATGGGTTATTTTAGGTACCAAACGCCAAAGTTAAACGCTTCCATGTCTTGGCAGGAGATCTTAACCGCTAGGAAAGTTCTGGTTTTAAAAGTGCATTTGGAGAGTTTTATAGAGAAAATTAGCCCAAAGACAGGCAGCGTGGTCCAGGATGCTGCAAATTACCTGAGGAAAAGAAAGCAGAATGTTTTGGGTAGGTAAAATAGACATTTTGCTGTCAACTTGCTTCTGGCTGCCTGCATGCGCTGTGCCAGGCACCAGTCATGCAAACATACCAACAGTTCACTGTGTTTTGAGTCACATCAATGGCTTGAAGCACTTGCAGAAGTTCTTGGTGTGATGAGGCCTGAGTGCTGCTGACAGGATTCAGGTTTTGTCCAAAGGAATCCTGAGGAATTGAAGCCAATTGAAACATTGAGTGGTTATATCCAAACAGCCCCAGCCCCTGGCTCACGGGACCCAAAGCACCCCATGATTTAAGCCTGCCTCTGTCAGCAGTGGTCCCAATTCATTGCAACTCAATGAGCTGGGCCCAGCAAAGTCAGGCCAAGAGAGCTGGGCTGAGCCTGGGAGATGAGGGTGAGTAATTCTGAAAGGGGAAGGATTAAATTCACTTTCTGTACAATTTCTGTTTCTTCACCTATCAAACATTACTGTCTGTGGCAATAGCAGCATCATTTCCAGTTTAGTCCTTGGCACGGTGTATGGGCAGAGGAGCTGAGGTGGGATTACAGTGATTAGAAACATTCCCTTCAGAAGCTTAGCTGTTATGGCTGGAAAATGTTGAAGCTGTTCATTGCTGCAACAGGAGGCATGCAGTGACCCAATGATGACACTGCTTCTTTGCGCATTTCATCCCTTGTTCCCACTTCCATGAGCAGGGGGTGCAATCTTGGTGGATTGCTTGTCAAACTTACTGTTGCTGGAGTAGTTTTTTTCTCTGCCATGTTGCTTTAATGAGTAGTAGTGCACTAGGGGTGGTCTGAGCGTCTCTGGGCATTCCAGCCTAACAGATGCTTTGCAAGAGAAGGGCGAAGGTATCTTCCACTATTTGAAATAGACGAATTCTTGATGGAAGGTGAAGACTGGTGAATGTAGTAAATACACCAGCTGTAGGGAAAGCTAGAGACAGAAATAAGGTTAAAAATAGGAGAAAATACATGGAGAAAGGCAAAATATGCATACCTGTTTCTTCATGTTCAGCTAAGAACAACTATCCTGCTGAAGGAGAGTCCTTTCTTCTCTGCTGCTTATAGTCTTGAGCTTGATCCTTTGTTGGAGACCTCTGTAACTGATGACTGTTTTAATCAGACTTAGTCTGCCCTAAAGAAAAGCAGACTTGAAACATGAGGGCTAGTTCCAAGCCTCTACAGTTGCCAGTTTGGACTCACGGACATGAACCACAAACCCAGGCAGTATTTGAAAGTGGGTCTTTATTTGCTGAACTAACACAGAAGTAACATGTAAGTAGCAAGGCAGTTTAAAACACAGCACTCCAACAGACCTGTCTCCTACTATTTGTTGTTTCTGATTCTTTCAGAGATACTCTAACAGTAGAGGAAGCTTCCACCCTCCTTGCAAGGGGTTGAATTCAGCAGAACTAACTTTGCTCTAGCTGGCCCTAGTACACTTCTTAAAGTACAATCACCTGAAAAGGATGAACACAGAAGCCCACTTACAGGTATAAGTAATGTGTGTTCCTCCTACTTAGAAAATATGACAGCAGCATTCTACCTCTAATAATACAGTGATGGAAGTCTTTTCCTCGCTGTTATTAATGGCATAATCTCTTATTTCCAATCTCTTTCCTGAGCAAGGTTTGACTTGCCTCTATAGGGTCTGCCAGTTTGCATGAAAGAACATTTATTTTCATTCCAGTTCTCCAGCTGGGTGACACAGTAACCTGCAAAAATAAGAAAGGATCTTTGTTTTTACTGCTGGATAGCACTTGAAATATACTATCTTTAAATATCACACAGCATGTTTCATTGACAGATTTGGTTATAAATATTTTGTAGAAACATAGGATGGTTTGGGTTGGAAAGGACCTTAAGATCATCAGTTCCAACCCCCTGCCATGGGTAGGGACACCTCACTCTGGTTGCTCCAAGCCCCGTCCAACCTGGCCTGGAACACTGACAAGGATGGAGCATTTACCACTTTTTTGGGCAACCTGTGCCAGTGGCTCACCAGTTCCAGTGCCAGTTGATTAGAGTTATCCTAGAACAGGCAGTTCTATGGAAAAGGACCCCAGTACAGCAATGCAATTAAAAAAGTAAAGGACATTGCAAATAAGGACAGATCTTTTAGCAGTTGCTCCAGGTGTGTGAGCCTAATGTCATTGCTGCTTTAAGGAGAATTGCAGATTTTAAACATACTTAATCACATTATTTCCAAAAATACAGGTAACTGAGCAGTATACTTGGGTAACCCCACAAACAATCTGTTACATATATTGACTGCACCTTATTCTTGCCAACTGATACTGTTAACTTTATTTGTTATAAACCTGTAGCCATAGAAGTCAGTGGCTGAGTAAAGTCATGTATAAAATCATGAGTAAAAATCATTACTGAGCATAAATCACATGTACTTTTGGAAAGTCAGCTCCTGAATAAGTACTGGCCAAGAGCAGTTTGTGTCTTCCCTAATTTGCCTGGAAGAGGCCTGGATACATCTGATCCTGCAGGGACATCCTCTAATGCTGGAAGTATGACTATTTACTTGGAATGTTCAGAATATGTGCAAAACCTAATCCTAGTTTTTAAGAGTTCAGCAGAATCGACATGGCATTTTTCAGTACTGAATATACTGCTGGGAAACAGCCCCTGCTTTCAATTAACCTCAGATACTAACTTTAAAATAAATCTTGCTTCGTTCCAAAAGAAGTTTCCATTTCAATGCAGTCTTCTTGCCCTCTGCTAGAGTGAGGAATTCCTGGACCTGTTAACAACAGGACAGCACAGAACACCTCCTCAGCATACAATTAGAACAACAGCTCTGTAACAAAATCGTGGTGAAAAGAGCATTTTGCGTATTTTTAGGCATTTCTAAGCTGTATTTTTTCTATTTAACATGGTGTTTGGTGTGATATATCTACCAAGAAAGTCAGATTAATCAGGATAAATTGCAGGGTGTCCAAGAATCAAAGGGAATTCTAAATGTGTTCTCAGCAAAGTGTGAATTAATGAAAATGAAGCAGTATTCAGGGTGTTCACTCTTATATTTAACACATTTCTTCTTAGCAACTACTGACTTTAACTTTTGATTTGTTAAAAAGCCATGGGTGGGAGGGTGTATATTAATATATACATGCAGTTTTTAACCAGTACACACACATATACACAAAGAACATTTACATGCATCTGTAATTTTCATCCAGCTTCACAGCTCAGAACAAATCAGAACAACCTAATTCCTTTCCACTTACTGTGCATCCTAATGCTTCCTCAGCTACACAGTCAGACAGGGAGCAAGAATAAAGAGTGCCTGTGTGATCTGTCACATCAACGAGTATCTCAAAGCTTGCAAAAACTGACTTTAAGTCTGAAGAGATATCACTGCAGAAAGTACATGTGTTTGACATTTCATTCACTATGAAACGACACGTTGAACTGAAACATAAGAAGATAATTAATACATATATTAAAGCATTTCCTCCTTGGTTGAAATTGTTTTCTAGACTGAGATTTTCCAAGAGACTTTTAATCTTTAAAGAAATTCTTCATCTTCTAAACTTTTAAGTCTGAGTCAAAATGGCCTCCTTCTCCTTCACTCCTCTAGGAACAAAACAGCAAGTCATTCATAAAGCCAGCTCTTCCTTGCTACTTCTGGAAGTCTAGACAGCAGATATGCATACGGCATCCTCCAGAGTAGTTTAATTCCTTGTCTGGAACTGGACTAAAGTACTGTTCTATCTAATTTAGATCAGGGGAGGATGGACAAGCACTTTTTAATAAAGATTTAAGTCAGGGGCAGTTGCTTACCATCTGTTGCGCACAACTTTAGATGCATCATCATCAATGTTCAGCGTAGAAATGTAGCCATAAATAACTCCATAGACGGGTTCAAGTTTCACATCACTCTGTAAAGCTTTTTCCTTCAGCTGTTCCACAGTATAAACATCAACTATAGTCTCCACTAGAAGTTTAAAAGACATGTTAAGTGCATCTGAGAAAGAAACTATGCAGAAGAGCAACAACAGAAAAGGATCTTGAGGGAATAAAAAGGAAAGGATTTGACCTAAAGAATCAGAAAAGTCCCATTCCCACCCCCCCTTTTGAAGCAGGCTTATTGTTTAGGGACAAAAAGTAAAACAAAAGGGGACTAGAAATAGGAAAATGTCTACTACTACATCTTTGTATCTCTCAAAATGAGTTTGACATAAACTTTCCATCTCCATTTTTGTACTTATTGTTATAGACACGAACCCTGAAGATACAGAACTGATGATAAAAGGGACATCCCTAGTAACAACAGTCTAAACTTTAAATATTCAGCCACCTCAGATTTGTTTCTATGAGCACACAGAGCAAGAACCTGATACTTCAGCTGCATTATGAAGCTATGCTAGAGTTCAGCAAAATCAAAGTGTTTGGATCCATGCTTACAGTTAACAGAGTCTTTTGACTGCTGCATCACTTTGTCATACAAGCCTCCCGATTGTGCGCTGTCTTTTATGAAGCTGAAGAGAACATTTGCTTCTGCTGTTTCTTGAAAAATGGATTTTTTAAAGCTATTAGTATATGTAGAATGTAAAAATGTCAACATAATTATATTTTACAACTTATGCTGGTAGCACCAACGCATGGTCCCTTGGAATGAGCCAAGAGATGCTTTTCTCTTTATTACTTTAATATGGCATATATGAAGGCTCCTTAGATAAAATAATAAAACAAATAAAAGATAGAACAGGGGAAGCTAAAAGCATTGGTCACTACTTGGCAAGAAGCAGGGAGATTTCTGAAGCAAGCACGCAGGAAAAATCAGGCCTCAAATCAATTTATCCCTGCATTCTAGCCTGAAATGATTACTGCCCCAGCTCTTACCTGGATTAGTTGTAATGATGGTTTTTGATATCACAGTTGCACTCATACAGTTCCTAAATTTGTCAAAATTTATCCTCACATCTGATGCAAATATCACTGTGCACAAAAAAAACCACCAAGATGTTATTGTAAAATAGGTATCATGTGAAGAACTACAGTAAAAAACCACAAAAGCCGGACTATTTCACCTGTTTCTTGTGGGATCCAACTCTGTGCAAGCTGGATGGATTCATTATCCCAACTACATGAAAAAAAAGTTAATGCATGAAAACAGTTTTGAAACAGCACTGAAACTGTTACGTATTTAACCACTAAGTAATACAGGTATAACTGAGTTGATCAAAGGGGATAAAACTCCCTTGTTACATGGACACACAAATGAAATGCCAGGTGTAGCCACAGGCATCTAGTTTGCAGCCAGCCAGGATGCCTTATGTACAGTCTAACACAGTCCCTATTTTATTCTGTGCCAAACAGGATAAAGGGTTATTAGATTGTTCAAAATCATTAAATACAGAATAAACCTGGAAAAATACTGTATTTCAGAGCCTGGGCAACAGTAATTTCTAACTAAAAAAAAATCACAGTTAAAATAACTGCTCATCAGCTGCGCCTCTTCTGTGGGTACAAGCCGATTGCTCACATCACTGGGCCAGACATTCAGCCAGCTTTCCAGCACTGGAATCCTTGTAGCTGTGGATGATGAGACTTGAGTGAGGTCAGTGGCATCCCTCAAGAATGATAATTTGATTGTTAGGCCCCTTGATGAAATCTCATTCCATTTCTCATCAGTCTGGATGGCAAGAACACTGCCAAAGCACAGTTCTGTTCTGGTGGGTTTTTTCTTAACCCTTGGAAAAGGATTTAAGATACTTGCTTTTCATTTAACATCACTCAGGCACCTCTTCAGTGGCAGCCTCTGAGATCTCTTCACTACAGTGCTGTTGCTCAAGTTTTTCCTGAATCTCTGACTCTACCAAGGACTCCACTAGTGTGCAAAGTACACAGCTGAGGGGAACCACAGTAACCCCAACTTGTCTCTGCTTCTGAGCACTTCTGAGGTGTACAGCTCTGTATCACCACATACCAGCACTGAAACAAGACTGTTGGAGGTGCTGCTGCAAGTTAACATCAGTGGCAGCTCAAGGGCAAGCAAACTTCACACCATAGATGCTTATGTGTGTTTGTGTGTATACATTAACTATGTTAAGCCTTACATGGTCTGATAATAGAGTTTGTGACTCAGCCACAGAACACAATGCTATCTTGCTATTTCTACCTAGGGAGCAAAGGTCATTTTCACCAACAAACAGCAAACCCACTGCAATTGAGTGCCCACATACCCTTGCACAGAGATAAGCCATAGGTTTATTGAGCAAACAATGGGCAAAATGCAAATATTTCTGTGTAAACAAGTCACTATATACATGGATAAGTGGTATAGACATAGCCATGTTTGTAAATGCAATACAGTGTGACAGTATGGCCAAAGTAGCATCAAAATGTTTCTGTGTTATTTTAAACACTTAAAAACTCTTCCAGCCTCTATCTATTCCACTTGTTCATTCTGCTTGGCTTCAAAACTGAAGCATGTTCCTCATTCCCCCCCTAGTTTGTGGAAGGCATGTTGCCTTTGCAGCTGTTTTTAAATGCCATTGCCTGAATTGGTTCAAATTTCCACATTAAGAAATGTAACTATTTGGAACTAAGCTTCATTTTGCAATCATTGAGCTCACAGTCTGTCAGCAGGTCATAAATGTAGACAATATATTTAAGGTCAGTCTAATGAATCTCTTTTTTGAGCCCCTGTTCAGTGTACATCAGAGTTGCCACTCAAATAACCATAGATTTAACAGTGTGGTAGCAGTATGTATTACAGTTAATTTCTTTACCTACTTTTGCATTATTTTGTGTATTTCAATGAATTGAAAGAAAACCATTTTACCAGACTATTGGAAAAGACATCTCTGTTTCATCATACAGCTTTACTTCACACCTCTGACCTTTCCTTTTGTCTGAAGTCATGAAATACTTTGGCTCCCCAACCTTTAAGAAGAAAAGGAAAGTCACTTTTTCCTCTAGCAAGTGTTTGGGAGAATGAAAGTAATAACTGAGAAAATAGAAGAGTTAAAAAAAGGGGGGGGGGGGGGGAGGGGGAGAGAGTTAAAACCCTGTAGACCACTAAAAAACCCAAACCAAACAGTAAGTTACCCATGGTACCGTAGAAAAACATGATTCTTGTGCCTCCTGAACTTACTGACATGACAGCTGCAAGCAGATTAAGGATCCTTCCATCAAGGCTTTGTCCATTTGCAATGATATCACCCAGTGAATAATAATCCTGAGGCTCCTTGACAGGCAGATGCAGCAGAGAAAGCAGCTTGGTGTCCATTTCATAACAGGAAAACGTTCGGACGACGGAATGGTTTTCACTGAGGATTAGTTTGTAGCAACTAGATAGTATACACAAAACAAAGCTCATGGATCAACATTTCACTCACCAAGGTATCAACAGTGTAAAGTGTTCATTCAGTTCACATGAGGAAATAACTGCTGGTTTGTTTGTCTAGTGTTTTCCTTAAAGATGTGGAAAAGTTGGAATTAATTTGCTCTAAAGTAAAACTATATACCTTTCTCTGACGGAAAACTTATTATCATGTACTTTATACACAGAATTGAAAAGCCAGCATGAATTGCTAGCAATGTACAATATATATTTCAAACCTTTCAGCCTTTATCAACCACTAAAAATAAAATCAGTTCTGAAATGTCTGTAATCCAGGTAATGAGAGGTTTTGGCATCGTGACATAACTACAGTCAGACTGGATTTGGTAAGGTGCTTTCAAAAGTAATAGCTCCATAACCTCAGGAATATTTATGACATGCTGTTAGCCAGCAGAAATAAGATATAGTTGATGTCTTCAGGATAAATATATTTTAAAAATGATTATGAAATCTATAGATTTAAGAGGAGCACTTTCCCTCAGTCAAATTTCTATCTCACATTTGTTCTTTTACTTCTTTCTGCTTAGCCAGAAAGTGAGTATAACTTTCACAGCTGCACATTTGCTACAATGCTTAGAGATGCTCAACAAACTGGGACATAAAACTTCTTACTTCCTAATTTTGTATGCATATATACAATATTCTTATGCATGACATGTGATTACAAATATTATAATATGACCAATTAAGAAAAAAACCCTAAGAACAGGTGTTTAGTCTGTATCTTAGCTATATAAATGAAACTAAAAATATCTAAATTATTACTTAAAATTTTAATTTCATATACTGCTTCAAACGGTTCAGATTGTACAGAACACACTGAAAGGCAACATAAGTACATCAATTTCAAACAGTTTTAGTAGGCTTTACTCAAAGAATTAAATTTACTCTTTTTAGTTACACAGAGCATTGTTACTTTATGACCATATACTGAGAAATATATTCTCCTTGAGATATTTGACCACAGATAGTTGAATACAAGGAGGAAGGTACAGCTACGTAACATAACTAACCCCAAAACCCCGGCAACTAAAACAAGTATTAACTTGGATCTTTCTGGAAAGAACTACCAGTCTCTGCTTTAAACTTACCTAGGAGTTACAGGGTTGAATTTTTCTTCCCTTTCTGCTTCCTTTGACTGAATTAAAGGATTTTCAATTGTAACTAAAATAAACCATTGATAAGTAATGTTAGAAAACTGAACATAGATATAAAGAGAGATGCTTTCAAGAATGGCTGTTTTCAAGGTTGATAATGGAAAAGGTACGTGCAATAACTGCTGCCAAATGTTTTCATTCTGAAAACTGTATCTGTCCAGACAGCCAATATTATATCCAGACTCCCACAGGAGTCCTCAGGACACCGAATGGAAACAAACCAACACCAAGTTCTCATGTGTGTACTCAAGTTTTTATCCAAACACTCTGATCTACCAACCATGGGCAGCAAAGTCTTTCTATTAACAAGATAAAAGCACATACTATAAACGTATATGATTTTTGTTGTGTTTTTATGAACAATCATAGTCACATCCAAAACTAAATGAAGACAAAACAGAACATCAAACTACTTTAGAGAGTTCATTTTTCATCATTTATAAGAACCAAATAGATCGTTAACTCTAGGTAGGTTCTGGGTGGCTGCATTCAGTGGTTTGTGTCTACTCTTTTTGTTGACATATTTACTGATTTTGAATTTAAATACTTGGAATCTTATTCCTTTCCTCTTTATACTTAACATAACTGAACAATTTGCTTCCAATTAGAATGTTTTCTGAGTCCGCAGAGAAAAATAGAGCAAAACCACAAACTCATAACACTGATGTACTGGAAAAAAAATACCCAAAATACATTCAAAAGAAACCATTAAGAATAAACTCCAACTTACCACAGTCACCAACTCTGAAGCTTTCCGAAAGGGATCTAATGTACTCTTCTCTGCCCCAAGAATTTACATTTATGAAGTAAGTTGGTGAATCACGAATAGTAAAACTGAAGGTGTATCTTTCAGACCCAATGTCTGCAAAAATAAACAGCACTGTTACAGTTCGTTAGCACAGCTTGATTTCAATCTGGAATATATGGCTATCACCTGCTATTTGGACGTTTTCCTGAGTTTTGTCATGAATTTACAGCCCGCATTCTAGAGAGTCCCACTAGAGGTCAGCAGACTGTTCAGTAAACACACTGGTGTTCATGAATGGGGTTGTACTACTCGTGCTCAGGTTTTACCTGCACGATCCCATCCATGCAGACATTCACTTAATTTGGGGCAGCACCACATAAACTTACAGATCCAATGACGAGAAATAAAAGAGCATCCAGTGCATTCAAGGCAAACGCAGAACCAGGACTAATGCATGAAACAATACTATGAACCAGTGTATGCAGTAGCCTAAATTTTGCAGCAGGTAGGCTGTTCTGATATGGCTGTGCTCACATCTTGAGATGCCTGTGCTCTAAGGCCACCACAATAACATAGACACCACCACGATGGCATACCAGGCTGCAGACCCCAGGCAGCATCGCTGTCCAGGGGTTTAAATGAATAAAGCAAAGTGTTTCCAGCTCTATGGGAAGTTCAGGGTTAAGAGGGTGTCAGTCTCTTTTCTCTTCCAGCTTCCCATCATACAGCATTATGCAATATGTTATTTTAAATTATCAAGGAAAACTGTATAGTGATCCACAGAGTAAGCATAATCTGATGACAGTCCCGTGGAGGCACAAATACAAATACACTTTTCACACTATGTAGAAGTGTCCCTGGTGACAATGGTGACTTCCTTCTAATTCATCCCTAGGGCAGCTATGCATGGTGCCAGGGAGCCCTTCACATAGGGCTGGAACAGCTCTCTAGGACTGGAGATACTTCCTAACAGTGTCTATATGAACCCTGAGCTGTAGATACGTTGCTTCAGTTTCCAGCTAATGCTGGGTTAACAATGTGTTACACACATTTTTTCTTTAGGAGCATACAATAAGATGAAGCTGGCGCTACTCAGACCAGAAATTACTTGTTTCACTCCTCAAAACATCTCCTTAACATCTCTGTTTTAAGAGAGAATGAACACAAAGGGCCCAGATCAATTCTGGCACTATTTCTATCAGTGGGTCCATACCAGCACTATCTTCTTCAGACCCTGAAACACTTCCATAATGGAGTTTTTCCAAGCAAAGTCTAATTGATAAGGTTTAGCCAAACTGATGCTGCTCTTTCATCTTGGTTTCCAAACACACACACATTTCTTTTTTGCATTTTTACTCTATACATTTTACAGTAAGAAGTCTGTTTATCATTTAAATGTTGATTTTAGTCATAGATGCCAAATTGTACTGTATAAGAAAATGAAGTAAAACCAGTTAAAAGGGACTGTACTTTTTCTGTCTGGAAAGCCTCTGACATCTGTTTTCCCAATAACCACACCGATTACATTCTGAAAAATAAAAAGATTATAGAATACAAGTATTAAACACAGATGTATGTGATGAAGTAGATTCCGTGGACTTGTACTCTACTGATGATAATAAACATGTTTCTGACTAGTAATCATGTTAATCTATTTATTCCACAATGGCATATGAACTGAGACCTAAAACACAAACATACAATTTTCCCTGAATAAAAAAAAAGAGTGACTAATAAAAATATTAAAAGAAACACATCTGGTTCTGGTTGTAAAGACAATGGGAGGACAAAAGTTCACCCCAAACATTCACTATTTTGGCTGTTCTACAGCAATCTCTCCTCAGGTAGGCAGCAATCATGTTTTTTCATGCTCTCTGCACAGGTCTCAGATCTCCTTAAATGCACCGTGAAAAGTCTGGACAGGATTTATTTTGCAGTTAAGCATCCAAGGTTTCCCCTGCTGTCAGCACTGAGATCCACACACGCACATCCACAGGGAGGGCTATTTATCCTGTCCTCAGCTAAGCAACATTAATTTCTACAGGTGCCTCTTTCCTGCTGCCTGTCTCTCGTAAGCAACCACAAAGGAAGAGTAGGAAATAAACGTTTTGGATGATCCAAAGTAAAATCAATCTTATTCTGCTTTGCTAAACCTGTATTTGTTATGCAAAAGCAGCCCAGTCTCAATTGTCAAACAAAACTACTAGGAGCAGAGGGAGAAAGATACATTTCTATCTTATTTATATAGCTTATATTTATAGCTAATATATACCTGTGTGGTGGTGGGATTTCTAATCAAAAAGCTTCTCCTCAGTAGAAGAGTATTGCAGTGCTAGTTTGGGATGAAAGAGGTAAGCAGTGAAAGCTGGTATGGAAGCAAGGCCAGACTGACATTGCAGCACTGCAGAAGTCCTTCCAAACATTACTTCCTCATCGCAGCAAGAGAAGGGGCAGAGTAACTGTTTAGTAACTCACACGAGCTGGATTTTGCCCTGTTCACAGAGCCATGCAGCCTGCTGACTGTAACAATATTGATGTGTGCTCAGAAATGAGATCTCATGTTCCCAATTTACTTTTAATCACTAGATGGAGCAAGGTAACTGTCTTATCCTACAGTGATGGGAATGAACAGTGTAACATCCTAGTTCTTCCAAGTCCTAACAGAATACTTTATATCTGAAAACAACATGCAGTGATTTAGATTAGGATTTGATTTTTCTCTTCTTGGTTCTGTTTCCTAAAAATAAAATTCAATTGGATCAGAGTTCAACACACCCTGTACTGCCAGTCAAAAGAGCTGACATTTTAGGATGACTTTCCACATGAATTAAGCTGTTGGAAATCTGTAGTTTCCAAAGGAGGTCTCCTCTCTCCCTGCTGCAAATACATTCACCCCTCTCTCATATTAGCACTCAGCCTGCACAGCAAGCTGCGAGAAGGAAGTGATCTGGCTGGAAAGTATTTGGGGGGGGGAGGGAGAGAGGAGAAAGAGGGTAGAAAAAACTTCCAGAGATCATTTCCTTGATCAGCTCATTGTGCAACTACACAAGCACCAGTTGCACCGGGGGAGGAGGAGCGGAACTGCCTGCAGGAGGAAGCAGGCCAGCCTGCCTTTTCTGGCAGGGCATTGCTTAAGGTTGTTCAACCGGATCATGAGACTACAGCATTAACACACTGAAAGTTTTTGGGGTTTTGATCCATTTCACTGTTAAAAAATAAACTGCAAGGGAAAAGAACTATATCTTGATTCTGTGAATGATGTGCGCTCAGCTGCTTTAACATCCTAAACGCACGCAGACCTTTCGACCAGGAGATACTAGTAAATTGCTTTTTGTAAAACTACTTTAGTGTGTGGTTCTATGATTCCATATGTTGCTAATTGCAATACTCAAGATGAGTTTTCTTTGTAAAATAAATGCTTTTAACCAAATTAGAGGATCACTCGATTTGAGAGTAACTGGGAATGACAGATTAAACAAACTTTGCTGGAGACCAGGAGTTTATAAAAAGTTAGAAAGAGCATACAGTACCACTCTTAGAGGATATAAACCTCCTTCTCCTAGTTCATCCCTTTTCCATGATTTCTCTTTCAGTTGTTTAATATATGAGGGGAAAAGGGATATATTCTGCCCTCTCAAACACAAAGCTTTGGGAATAGGAAAAGTTGGTTTTGCTCTTTTCACAAGCATCAGGACTTCCACAGGGCAGCTACTTTAAGCTGCACAGGGAGACAGGGCTGTAACTCCACACTACAGCTCATGGGGTATCCATGGGGAACTGCTGCCTCTGTTTAGCTCTCCAGGCTCCAGCTCCCAGCAGCACTGAACTCTCAGAAGACACTTTATTGCTATTGGGCTGCACAGTGATGGTGGGAAATACTGCAACAGAGAATATTGCAGCCTTCTCCTTCCTGTATTAAAACATCTTGGAGAGCAGAGAATGAAAAATTCCACTCCTCAGACTTCCTGGGTTTTATTCAACCATCTAAAACCCAAAGAGAATAATAGTGAATTTTAAAGCACACTCCAGTGATGATAGTCATCACCCACATCAAGACAACAATAAAGAAATCATATCCAAACGTCTGTACAAATTTGCCAACCGTAAAGCTTTGCTGTTTGTTAAGTTTACCTTTTAGTTAATCTTATTCTCCTGTCCTCCTACAAGCAAAATTCTTAGCTCCTTGTAAACTGACAACTACAAAACCTGCTTTTTGTTCTAAAGGAACAGAAGTGATCCTCTCCGACATGCAACTGTGAGATTTTTATCCAGGTAAAACGCCATACCATTCAACAAGAGTTTTGTTTGAATAGTCCAGGACTATGTTATTTAGCTCAGAGGGATTGAGCATGCAAGTAAAGACTTCAGGACTTGGGTTCATAGCCTGTTGTGAAAGACTATTGTGGGTTATGGATGTATTGTGACTACATAATGCTGACTCTGTACATGCCTTTACTAATTCAGCATCCATTTAAAACATTACAAAGAAGCCTCTGATACTTTCAGACATTGAATTGTCCAGTCAATATCTATAGTTGTGGCATCCACATACTATGGACAACAGCAGCATCAATTTTCATTTTGCTGGTTTATGCACAAAGAAGGTAAGGTACTTTATATCTAACAATTAGACTAATGCTGTTAGTATCTAAATATACATCAATTACATAATTTTGCAGTAATATAATACAGTCATATACAATTTCATTTGGGAACAAAAGTACTATGTCTATGAGACTTACAGGACGAGCAAGACTTGGATGCAGATCTGAAAGTGCGACAAAGTCCTGTGTTGAACTAGAATAAGCCATTCTTGATCTGTAACTTGAGAAAACTGATTTAGATGTTTTAAAAACCCAAACAAATCACTTAAAACCATTCATAGGGAGAATAACAAGTCATTTTTTAACACAAATATTTTGACCTAAATAGCGTCTGTTTTCAATAAAAAGACTTTCCAGCCATCTGAAGCAGACAATTCTTTGGAGCTTGTATTTGGCAAGGTAAGTTATGAATTTGACTGTAACTGCTCTACCTGTGCTTCTCAAATAAAGGTCTGTAATTGTGATTTATTTATTTGCCATTAAATGACTCCATTAGCACCAGCCTCTGAAAAATATTTACCCTCCTTCGTCTGGGAAATCCAGCTGAATTTAATGAGGCAGTTCATATATAAAAGGCCATTTACATGGGAGGAAAGAAAAGTGTTGGGTTGCAAACCACTTTAATTGAGGTTTTGGGCTTAATATTAAACTACTTGAAAACGGGAGTTCTTTCTTTCCTCAAAGCAGAAAAGTTTTGAATTTATTAAAATAAACTGGTAAAAATAGGTTATTTTCAAGCTGCCAACATAGCATTCCTGTGAGCTACTGAACACTCAGGTCTTCTCTAGGGATGCTCAAGTCAGGCCATGGGTGCTTTGTTAACCCATCTGAATACCTCTTATTAGTTCATGGATACCCCCAGAGACATTATTGATATTTAACAAATAGCTGTCAGATTCTAGTTTTCTATTAGAGGATCCATTGAGTTGTCTAAATCCTTAATATGAGAGAAGTGATATTGTCCAGAGGAGCCCTGTTCAAACTTCATAACCAAGGTCCTGAATGGCTTTTACAGTCTTTGTACCTTGTGTGAGAATGGTTAAACCTAGCAGTAGCAATGAACAGAAATTGACAGTCTGCACATTAAAAGAGGCAAGCAGTTACCTGAGAAGTGGCTTCTAAAAGAGCATTTCAAACTAAACTCACAGAAAGATAGCCCAAATTTGCCTTACAGTGAAGCCCGCAAGCCTGTTCCCATCCCGTGGTATGGAACAGGTTACCTCAAGTATCCCTTCAAGGCATGTTAATATTCTGCCCTCAGAAGAAGTTAAATACAGTTAAATGGCACACCTCACACCACAGTGAGAGAACACAGCACTGGTAACACGTGTAACCAAGGGAGATTAAGAGGTATTTTAGGGTTTAAAGCAGCCCTGACAGGGGAGGCTGCAACGAGCAGTCGCAGCCATTCCTTACCTCAGAGGCAGGGATGAGCTCCTGAGGGAGCAAAGGGACCTTTACCTCACCACCACCCAGGAACAGACCTTCTTCAAGGAGAAAGAACATGCCAGTCACAATAAATACAAGTAGTATAATACAAGTAGCATATTAAATACAAGTAGGAAGCCTTTGGCACCATTACCCCACCCCAAGCTGGTGCCTTTCACCAGACAAGCTTGCACCCCCAAAGCCAGGCTTCAAGAGATTCCTCTTGCATGGTGCCATCACCACCATCATGGCTTTCCTTGCCCAAGCCCGAGCAGCACATGGTGGCCATCCCACACAGGCAGCGATGGTGCCAGGAAGGAGCCCTCACCACAGAGGGGACTGGAGGGGACACACAGCCGGGGTGGGAAGGGAGCGCCCTGAGAGGAAGGCGTGAGGGACAGGGAGACAAAATGGCGGCGGGTCCGTTTGGCGGGAAAATGCCTTCACGTCTTCCCGCCGCGTGTGACCTGCCTCCATGGGCAGGCTCTGCCATGAGGGGCAGCGGATCAGGGGATGGCCACCAAAAATAACCCCATTCACCATAAATTGAGCGCATACCTGAGCAATGGCACTGGGCACAGAGGGACCGGGCTGGAGCACCCCCAGCTGCAGTGAGGGCTCTGCGTCAGGTCCAGGAGCGCCCAGAGCTTGGGTTCGCTTCCTTTGCGAGCCCTCTGCTCTGTGGGGCTTTACTTCAGTGCCCATCCCGCTTGGGGCAGCGGCTTCATCCCGAGGTTTTCCTTGCGGGATGTTGATGTGAACCTCCCGATTGCATCTGTGGCTGCTGCTGTGACCAACGTCTGCATTTTCTTGCAGTGTTACCCCAAAGGAGACCCTGGAACACTTCTTCCTCCCCAAATGCATGCAGCAGGGTCACAAGCGGCTCTCAAGTCACCTCAGCTTGAAGCCACCAAGGCACCAACCCATGAGTCTAAAGTGAGGCTTCTTCTGCTATGATCATAACTCCAAAACCACACCAAAACCAAACCAAATCTCAGAAAGCTTTGGAGGAATCATTCCCTAAATCTTTTCTTGTGGTAGCTCTTAAAGGGGGGGGAAAGAAATCATAACCTGTGTCTTCCACATGAATTAGAATGGATGGTGTAAGATACTATTTGTATTGATTGGTAGACAGCACTCCCAGCTTCTCAGACTGGAGCGAGCCGTTTTGTCCCTTTATATTGCATATGGAATGATTTTCCTTTATAAAAATCGATGCTTTTCACTTCTGCATCATAAAATACTCTTACTCCTGGTGAGCAGTGTGATGGCCTCAAGGTCAGGGCTGTTGAAGGCTTCAGTGCAGGCTGACAAGCCCTCGGTGTTGACTGTGTCTTACAGGATCTTTCATTTCTCCAATTAAACAGCTGAAAGTGGACACCACCTGGGCTCTCGTATTTATTGTGCCACTAAAGCCCGTGGTAATTGCACCGTGCTGATGACAAACGGCATGCCAGAGAGCCGACAGCCCGGCTGGGTGGGTGCTTAGGTCACCTTTTAGACAGTACGAGCCATGGATCTAACTGGGGTCCATAGGGTTGAAGCCTCCAGTGAGCAGAATCAGGGGTTTTCTTTGCTGGCTCTGTTGTTTTAATTAGGTCAAGTTAACGAACATGCAGAAGATGATGAGTGTGCTGGGATCCTAATCGGATAAGAAGGGAAAGTTATACACGGCCTGAAAAACACTGGCAAAGGTACAGGTTTCGTTCTTGCCTCCATGACTGCAAGGTAAACCAGGGTAAACTGAAACTGAAATGAGATCTGCAGCTCTCCATTGCCACCAAGGGTGAGAAAAGCAAGATCACAGCCCATGGGCTCGCAGGCACTGAGCTTGTCTACTATCTCAGCAAGGTTTTGGTGGCACATAAGCACCCGCTTAAACGGAGCCTTGCTGAACCGAGCTGGCATCTGGTGCCCAGCGTGGTCACCACTTTCATTAGGCTTTGTCCAGGGTGAGCTGCTTTTCACACAGAGGCACAAAGGGCAGGTGAAACCCAAGCTGCGGTGTCCCCAGTGCGGGGCTGCAGGCTTTGTTTCGTTTCAAAGCCACCAGAACAAGGATGCTTTGTGGTTTTGTTCCGCTCCCATTTTCAATGTGCCTACATTGGGGGAAAAGAAGCTGCTTTTTACTTTCCCATGATAGCTCCTGGTAGGAAGCTGTTATCGGGGCCATCATGAAGGGCTGCACTGATCTGGCCAGAGACACAAAGGCACTGGATGCGAGACCAGAGTTCTTTCCCTAGGAGATGTGATTAGATGCTGAGTTTCTAACTTGCAGGTACTGAGGCAAGAATTCATTTGATTGACATACCTGTCTCACAGGGATGCTGTGAATTCTGCCCTTCACATGGCATGTGGCACGATGAGGAACAGCCATTTGGACTCCTGTAGGTTACTGTAAGCAAATGGCATCTTTTGGGGGGCTTATAATAAACAAATGTCTAATCTGAATGTCTCCTGCTATTTACAAAGACAACTGATTCTCCACGTTAGGAATTCTTAATACAAACACTGAAAAGAGCCTGCAAAAACAAGTTACTCAGCTTGTACCCGGCTTACTCAAGCTTTCCTCCTCAGCTGACCTCAAAGTGATCTCTACAGGGAATCAGCATCCTTATCTCCCTCTGACAACTGGAAAAACAGAGGCAAGAGGAAGACCAGCAGCAGTTTCCTGAGGGCTGTGCACCACACAAGGACCTGCTCCCCTCTCCACTGCCAGCACCAGCTCCTGTGGAATGAGAACAATATTAATTCAGTGTTTTTCTCCTCTAGTGCTTGATTCCTGAAAGGTCTGAGTGATTTTAACTCTCCAGCACTTCAGCAGCGCTTAGCATTCAGCCAGATTCTGTGTGTGATTAAGCAGAGGCTTCCCCATCCCTGCCTGCAAATTGCACGGTCCCTGCTAATTAGGCCCTTCATGAATGGATTTATTTAAATCACACTCATTGGCATGGTCAAGGAGTGCAAATGCCATTTGGTAATTCACTTAGCAATTTGGTACTTGAGGATCAGGATTGTCTGCATGCAGAGGAAGCCAGTCCCCATCCAGTGCTAGCAGGGACACTTCAGAAATCATCTTCAATAGGATCTTCAGAGCTAGAGCAACATAGAAATATTTGCTCTGTGAGGTTTATGCTGCTCAAAGCATTTACTGAGTCCTCATTGAACATTTATACATTCTTAGAACCTAAAGAATCTGTAAAATGAAAAGGGCAGACCTGTAATTTTAGGTAATTGGCCTGACTGAATCCACTAAAAGCAGCAAATTATTAAAGGTATTCACTCTTCAGTGGCTTTGGTTGATACCTGAACTGGCTGAGACTCAGGAGTGCTGATGGAGTAGTGATGGATGGATCTTTAGAAGCAGCAATGCAGGTGCTGATGCAGCTGGCAGGTGCTCAGGCATATCTCACTTCTTCCTATATCTCCCCTATCCTGGTCCCCAGGCATATCTCACTTCTTCCTATGTCTCCCCTATCCTGGTCCCCAGGCATATCTCACTTCTTCCTATGTCTCCCCTATCCTGGTCCCCAACACTGGAGTCATCTCAGTGCTGTTTCAGTGGGATTTCCTCGCTCTGAGCAGCACCACAACCTCCTACAGCAGATGAAAATGCAGCAACCCAGAGATACTTTTAAATGAACACGAGCCCTGGCTGATTCCTGCCTTATCTCTGCTAATTCTGGCTTCTTTGGTGCAGGAAAGATGCCAAGACCTGAAGCTGGTGCATCCGTGCAGCAGCAGCATGAACAGAACAGCTCAGACACTAAACATGTGCGTGAGGAAACAGGACCACGGGTGGGAATACCAGCAGCTCTCTTCTGCATGAGGAAAACCCTATTGCTGGCAAAGAGGGGAAAAAGGCTTTCTTTAAGGTGTAAATCTGTGTGGGACATGCAAGTGCTGCTCTTCCCAGCTGTCCAGGAAGGACAGTGTTTTAAAACAACAGCTGCTCTCAAGACAACAAAGCCTCCCTGTTCTCTCTGATGAATTCACATGAAACTGCTTAAAACCAGACCCAGCCATCCCCACAGGCAGAGGTGAATGGCATCTGCAGGGCCCGAATGCAGCAAGCACTGCATTTGCAGTGGTCCGTGCTGGGGGAAGGCAGTGTTCTCACTCTCCCAGGCAGGGTCTGGATGCCCGTTCATCAGCAAGCTCAATTCTTAACGATTTCAACACTAATTAATCCCTTCTGCAACATTTGCTCAGTGGTGGATCAGAAACGTCATGCAGGGAAGCAATGAGAAAGGAAAGGAAGCCACAGCACCAACCTGTCCACTGAGATCAGGTCACGCCAAGCACCATCACAGAATCTGAGCACAAACCAAACATCACAATTGAAATCTGTGACCTTCTGGATAGTCACTAAATAGCTGGTATATTTTAGCTAATAGTTAGCAAACAAACATATCCTAGATCTAATCCTCCTGTGTCTTTTTAATAGCAAAAAGTCAGAATAAGAGGCCTATATGGGAATTCACTGCTTGAAACCACTGACACAAGTCTGTTCAGTTCAGTTTGTTCACACAGTGATACTCTACCTTGCTTTTCTTGAAGATCAGGCTTTGATTGCCCAAGATTTTAAAGCCTGAAACTACAGACATAGAAAGTGCTTCTTTTTGGAGTCTCCAAGTTTACAGCTACGGAGAGTTATTCCTCCCGCACACAGTTCCAGCATAATTGAAGTGAGGTCAGTGAAACTGGATTTTCATCACTTTCCTCAAGACCAGAATTCCCTCCTCCCTCGCTGAGCAAACAAATGAGGAGTATTTTCCAACAAAACATCAGGAACTGAAAAATACAACAATTTAAAAATAGTTCCAGTGACAGCTCCCTGACACTGGGCAAAGAGCACTTTGGAAGGGAAAAACAAGACATTTAGCAGCGGTTGGCTGCCAGTCAAACATTTCCAGCTATTCAAATCAATGAAACCCCAAAACCAAATGAATTATATCTGGATTTCAGTTTGTGACACATGATACTGAACAATACCAATTGGGACACATGGGATGAGTGCTTTCCAGAGACAAAACTGGGGAAAACCCTTCCATCCTTCAGTTGTTCCACTTTCCAACAGAGCCTAAAACTCAATCGCTTCATGAGCAG